CTTACACAACGCACACACGGAATCTGTACAGAACGTACAATATAGTCCGACTGTTGCATATAGAATGAGACCCAAAATTTTGTATGGCTTCTCGGGCACGCAGTCAAGTTTGGGGGTATAACGAAGTGGGGAACAGCTATTGTGTCTACTTAGTGCAGGTAAGATATTTGTATTTTGTCTCAGTGGTCAGTTGAACTAGGCCTTCTGATTGGTCAATCTGTTATTGGTCCAATCGCACCGTGGCTAGAAAGTCATTTCATTTTAGGGCGGTAGACTTTCTCTTTTTTTCGGCTATTGTATATCTATTTTGACTGTTTTCCGACATTCCTCGCCAATACTGAAAATCTATAGTTTAAGTTACGCATACTATATCTATATGTATCTCTTATATATCTATATGTATTTATTCTTTATCTTTATAGATTGATGAATAGGTATAGAAACTGGCGATTTTCAAAAAAATTTTTTATTATTATCTTGAGTCTAACAAAATTGAAGAATGATAGATGTTACATTTATATACAAGTCGAAATTTTCGAAAAATATGTATATTAATCCGATCTGTGTATGAATTGTATTTTTTATGCAAACGATAATATTACGGTACACGACGATCATTTTTTTTAATAAAGGAAAATTGGAATCTAATTCACAGAGATGTTAAAATAATAAATAACAATGAGAAAATTATATAATAATTTTATTGTATATGATATTATATTTTATATATTATATATAATAATTATATATAAGGAAAATTGGAATCTAATTCACAGAGATATTATAATTATATGTAAGGAAAATTGGAATCTAATTCACAGAGATGTTAAAATAATAAATAACAATGAGAAAATTATGTAATAATTTTATTGTATATGATATTATATTTTATATATTATATATAATAATTATCACAATTGCTGCTCCTTAGATTTGCAACAGCGTTCATATTAATACATAACTGCTTAACTCTTTTTCTTATTATTTATTTCCGTTCTTATGCAAAAAGTCGACCGAAAGATAAAAGCAATCTGTATAAGAAAGCTAACTAATTGTATATATAAAACATACTATCTTAAACTGAATCAATGAAAATTTTTATTGATTAAAAATGTAACACAACGTATTTCTCATTTAAGTAAGCATTGTGTTAGGTCTTTTTATAACATTTTTTGCGAATTATTTATATAGAACAATAAATGTGTTTTTAAAATCTGCAAATAATTTTTTAGAAGATATAGTTAAAATGTTTTAAATATATTTTTTTCTAAATGCAAATCGAAATTATCAATGAATTAATGTACATTAATTACAACAATATTTTATAGCTGAAAAACAAAATAATATATGTATATCTAAATATTTATACAGATGACATTGATTGCTTTAATTGTAATATATGAATAATATATAAAGTGCACCTTTAATCAATCGAGTTTAAAGAGAAAATACTAAAAACTACACCGTTAGAAACGAGTGTATAAGTAACTAAAATATACGAAATAAATTTGTGCGAGTAATTAAATTAAGACATAAATCTTGTACGCGATAAGAAAGTGATGACAGGCGGACATGAAAATTGATATTATTTTGGTTTAGTTTTTATCTACATATCGAGTTACAATAGATAAAGCCGAGTCGAGGCTCGCTCGAGCTTGCCCTTTAAAAGCAATTAGAGAAAAGGATGCAACGAGGGTGCGACAAGGATGCGAGAACAAACGCGAATAAGACGCGAGATACTTCGCGAGTGACAAAATCCGAGTTTTCTATTAGATTTAAGGATCGAGGATCTATGATTATTGGCTATCGATTGAGTCCGCGTGGAGTCCGCGTGGAGTCCGTGATTAACTGAGCAGTCCTCGCGGATTATTTAGGTCTGGAAAAATTCGGGATGCTACCGATATATGGAACATCTAACGCGAATATTAATCGTTACGCAAAGACCAAACACAAATTAAATGCAAATACATTCAATTTTAATATTTTTATAAATCTATTTTTTTAATAAAATTAAGTATCTAAATTAATTGATTGTAAAATTAATTATTACGCGCAATCAATTTTTTTGCCTTTTAAACAGATATTTAATATTGTAAATTATAATTATCAAGCATTATCTTGAATATAAACTTTTAATAAAAATTCAGTCTATTTAAAAATATCTAATTTTTACATATCAATTTTTATATATCAGGTATATAATAATTACATTATTGTGAAATATTTTATAAAATATTGAACTATCTTGAAATATCAATTAACACGAAAAATATTTTATTATATTATTTGAAACATTTTAAAATAAAAACTGAAATATTTTTTATATATGCATTATATGTTGGTGATAATTAGGAATAAATTCTAAAAGGTGAAAAAGCAATAGGTAATATATCTAAAAATAACATGAATGATAAATAATTTATAAATGACTTACATTTTATATTTCGTTGCTCCGTATGTGTTGTCCGTATGTGCTTTTCTCCTTTTTCTTTCTTTTTCGTCCTTTGCTATTTCTTCGTAGCACTCACTTCCGAAAATACGAATAATAATAATTAATTATATATGAAACGATCGCGAGATACTTTGCACGACACTCCCAATCGCGGAATAATTACATGAGAAACGCACTTTTTAATATATATCGTAAGAAACAGAAGACACGAGAAATATACTATTTTCGTTCGATATTTATATAAAGTTTCAAATTCATGCACTACTCATTACAAATGCTCCGTTTAATTAATATTATTAACACGAATTATAAAATCGAAAGATTAATCTAATTGAAAATCATGATAATCGTCCAATTAATAGTAAATTCGATAATATACGAAGAGTATCGTTTCGCACCACTATCTTACTCGAGTGTCGCCGTATGAATAATATCAAGACCGCGGAATGTAAACATTAGCGCGCTATTGTATACGTCAAGGCTAAACACTGTGTTATTGTCTGTTCGAAATATTTTACGTACTTTGACAAATATATACGCGAAATATTTTAAAGTATAGAAATTTAGATTTTAAATGATATAGATTAATTATATGATTATTTATTGAAGGATCACTTTCATTATGTAAAATATATTTACGATTCGATCGTTTTACTGCACGATCTCAATCTGAATTACATTTAAATAATCGAAAAATAGATAAAGAGTCACGAATGATTTATATTCACCAGGCCGGATTTAGTAGGGGGCAACAGGGGCTGAAGCCCAGGAACCTCCACAACACAAATTTTTGGATAAAATTTCCTATCGAATAGTATACAACACTTACAAGGTCTATGTATATTACTTGACCTTGTTATTTCGCAATAAATTATTTAAACAACGTAAAAATTTCTATTTAATTTTGATTTAAAAATGATTAAGGATCTCCACCTCTTCGTTGCCCCAGGGTCTCCATACCTATAAATTCGACCCTGTATAATTTGGATTGAAAAAGTGCAGTAAAACAATCGTAGATCTAAATAATTAATATAATGAGAGGCTTCGTCATATACAAAGTGTTTCCGCAACATACGCATCATTAAGTTGGGATGCCCATCGTCAGGGACATACTTTATTAGACTCTGAATAAGATTAGAATGCCAGTTCAATGGGGAGTAAAGAAAGGGAAATCTTAGCATTTTATTTTAGTAAATAATTGCGAAATTTAATAATATAGATAAAATATATATTTAATAATATATATTATATATTTATATGTAATATATTTTTAATAATGTAGATAATAATATATATAAAATATTTAATTTTAATATATAAATTAACAAATTTGTTTAATAACACATTATAACTTTTAATTATAATATTTAATAATAAATATTAATATATATTAACATATATTAATAATGTAAATTTAAATAAATTTGAACAAATATAGTAAAAAAAATATAATAAAAAAATATAATAAACAAATATAATAAAATATACTTATAATGACAAAAATTTTTGATCTTTAAATGTAATAAATTATAATAAATGTTCAAATTCCGCGTAGTAGATACTTGTTGATCGCTGGCGATTTTTTTTGATAACACCAAACCTCGGATGTATGATAGCCTACCCGGCTGTGTGGTGACTAAAAAAAATTACTTTCATTGTCGTTGCCTACAAATAATATAATATTTGAAAAGCTTCAACTTGATAACATATGCTGTGGCTTTCCTTACACTACTATAAACTATAGCCTTAGAAGGAAATCCTTGTAAGAAAAAATATTTCAATAATGTGAAATGTACAAAGCAACATTTTTTTTTAAATTATAGCAGAAAGTAAATTGCCTTTTCTGATAAAAAAATTTTCTGATAAAAAAAAATGATAAATTATTCATATATTTTACATTTGTCATATATCTTACATTTATCATATCTGATCACGATATTCCAATGAATATCGTTAGAAAAAGACGCCTCAGTACAAATATCTCATTTGCATATATCAGAGAGGCGAAAAAAATATATTATGATTGCGTCTGCAAATGGACGATGAAATCTATATTATCGATATAAATCTATTATTTCGATGCTTTTGAGACAAAGAATGTATTATGAAAATATTTATATTTATAAATTTTACGACATTACATCAATTTGCATAAAACATTTTATATTGTCAGCTTTTGATTATATCGATTTAACAAATGTCGTGCATAAATTATAATTTGTAGAAAATTATATGCAACTATCTTTTTTATTGTATATACAAAATGTCGCAGAGTACTATACATAGTACTATACAGAGTATTATACATATATAAGCGTATTAGGTAATACCTAACCGGTATTACTAACCGGTAATACCGGTTAGGTTCTTATACATCCGGTTCTAAAGCATCTTTCTCGCGGTTATGTTTATCTTCGCTTTTGCTTGAGAATGAATAGAGAGTGAAAATGATCTGACTTGGCTGATTCGCGCGTACCTCCTAGTAGTCTATAACTTACAGTCGAACAAATCGTTGCCGGTATGTTAGTTTATCAGCTATGTATAATCGTTATCTGGATTATTGAGAAACGTTCTTGCGTAAAAAAATAGCGGGAAAAATTCGATATTGTCTAATTACCTTAAAATGACATCGTTATCACAACCTTAGTAAAAATTAAATGCAGTTTTTTTGATTGATTATTGACCAGTACCGATTCTTTTCTAGTAGATGAACATTAAACTGCTTGGCATCCTAATCAAGATCAAGAGAGAACGCTTTTCGCGCAGTTACTTCACTTCATAGAAAAAGTGTTTTACATTAAATACGGAATTTCACATTAAATACGGAATTTTAATGTTTATTGTATATTTCGAAGGTATTTTCTGATGTATCACGATGTTGTTTATTTACGTGGCGTTCTTACTTCTATTTTTTGAGCCTTATTATGTTCATGGTGAGTTTGCGTGTAAAATCTACATTTTTGTGAGATTAATATATATGTTGCATTATATATATTGCATAATATATATATTAATATATATGTTACATTTATTTCTAATAATACAGAAATAATATATATATATATATATATATATATATATATATATCTTATACCATGTATCCAGTTGCTAAAATTCCAGTATGTAATATATTAACAAGCGAAAGTAAAAGCCGACACACAATGAGAAGGCGATATTTTTATAAGGCTTGTGAATGTATATACAGAGTCTCGAAATTAGCTACCCATATTTCATCTATGAATGGATCATTGATTTTCTGATTGACTCTTACTGATTCTAATAAGTTTTTATTATAAGTCTTATAAAATCAAATCAACATGATAAAGTCATTGTTTGTTACGTATTATAGGTCTTATAAAATCAAATAAACATGATAAAGTTATTTGTTACGTCTCGTCTTGGGCAGCCGATAGACCTGCAAATGGTGCATTTTCCTTTGAAAATTATCATCCACAATACTGCACTCACTTGATTTATGCATACGCTGGTTTAAATGCCTCAGATTGGACAATAAGAAGTAGAAATCCTTGGGAAGATATAGAGAAAGATGGTAATTGCAAAATAAAAGATATGTAAGATAAAACCTCAAGTTATTTAAAGAAAGAGAAATTATCTCAACAAGATAAAAAGAAATAATTATAAAATATTAAATAACTCGGAAAAGTTATTAATTAATTAATTCTAATTTTTATTAATTTTAATTTTTCGAACTTTCATTAACTTAATTATTTAATTTATTCAATTAACTTATATTGCTATTGAAATTATTTAATTTATTCGATTAATTTATATTATTACTGAAATTATTTAATTTATTTAATTAATTTATATTATTACTGAAATTATTTAATGTATTTGATTAATTTATATTATTACTGAAATTTCGTAAATATAATTTTAAAATATCCGGACGATTACAGGAATTGGCAGCTATAGAAAGATGACAATGTTTCGTCAGAAAGGTATGAAAGTATTACTCAGTATCGGCGGATGGGCTGAAGGCAGCGTGAATTTTTCGATGATGGCTTCATCAGCGGATAGTAGACAAACTTTTATCGCCAGCACTGTGAAGTTTCTCAAGTGCGTTCGTCCCAATATTAATTGTTATTTTTTTCTTATTTTTATAGAATATTTTATAATAAAAAATTAATTCATCAAGAACTTAGAAATGTTTTATATGTAATAACCGATAAAAATCAAGATTATCGGACTACTTTGAAATACGCGACTAAAGTTTAGTTTGATATTGAAACTTTTTATTTCGCTTTATTTCATATTAATCCATTTGGTTTCCTTTTTTCTTTATTATACATTTGCTTATTTTTATATTTTACTTTCATTTTTTATAAATAAAATTTTGTTGCAATAGAACATACGATTTCGACGGGCTGGACCTTTCTTGGGAATTTCCTGGACCCCTTTTTGGTGGTGCTGAATATGATAAGCACAATTTTGTCAGCCTCGTACAGGTAGGGAAACATTATAATTTACTATTATTATAATTAATTATTAATATATAATATTATTAATATAATTATATTATTAATATATTTAATATTATATCATTAATATATTTAATATAAATTATTATATTATTAATATAATTTACTATTATTATAATTATTATACATAATTTATTATTACTTCTATTATATTTCTATTATATATAATTTATTATTATTTCTATTATTATTTCTATTATACGAGATAAACGCGTTATTTGTGCGATAGGAATTGCGACATGCTTTTCGCCAGTATCATTTTTTGTTAACGGCAGCTATAAGCGGATTCAAAGAAGTTATTATGTCGGGGTACGATATTCCTAAAATTTCCAAATATCTCGATTACATTTACGTCATGACATATAATTATCATGTAGCATGGAATAAAGTGGTTTTTCCACATACGCCATTGAAAAGCGAAGATCATTTAAATGTGGTAAGAAATATAATTTTCGGATGAGCAACGATATATATATATATATATGTGTAGTCAAAATTCAACATTATCATGTAATTGTCTTTTCAATATTTATTAGGAAGATACTATTACGTATTTATTGAAAGAAGGCGCACCAGCTGAGAAATTAGTCTTAGGACTGGCATTGTTCGGAAGAACTTTTGTTCTTACAACTATACCATCAACACCAAAAATAAATCCGTTTGGTTTGCCCAGTCTACAGGTTGGATTCAGAGGACCTTATACATTCGACGATGGTTTCATGGGATTCAATGAGGTATTTTCCACCATATTTCTTATATTTATATTATATTCCATAATTTTTATAATATTTATATCTTTGACAACTATCGTAAAAATTATTTTTGTTTAACTTTTCGTAATTACAGTAAAATATATGATAGAAAAATTGTTCATGTGTAAATATGTGAAGAAAATATAAAATATATAAATAAATATATAAAATATATAAAATATATTATAAAATATATAAATAAATTGCACATATTTTAAACACGCAGATTTGCGAGGAGTTGATGTTACATCCGCATGAATGGACAGTTGGATGGGATAATTATAGCAGCACAGCTTACGCGATTAGAAGAGATCGCGTTGTGGTTTACGATAATAACAAAGCAATTATGATAAAGGTATTATCTCTTTTGCTTTTTTTCATGGAACACATCTTCTACTAATTCTAAATTTTGTATTGAATTTTAACTATATGCCTATAGAGACGAATCTGGAATTTCTAATCAAATTATTAAGTAATTATCTTGTAAATTTCAAATACTCTTCTTAAACCTTTTTCACATCGCTAGAATTTTCACAATTGCTAGAAGAATTTTATTGCTCAGAAATATATATCAATTTTTTAAAACTATAACATAAAATAAAAAAGAGGATTGCTTTTAATATTTTGTTGTTTTTATAAAAATATTTAATAAAAATGATAAAAGTTATTATAAAAATATTTTTAAAAATTATTAATTTTAGACATCAAAAATGTTTAATAAGGAGAGGTTTTAGAGTAAAATTTATTAGTCATTTATTATTACAAACATTTAAAAAAAATATTCTCCATTGTTTTCTAAACAATAATACATATAAAGATAAAATAAACAAAGTTAAAGGCTCCTCTAAATTAACAAATCAAAATGAATAATAAAAGGCAGTAAAGAGCCAACGCAGTTGTAGGGCGTGAATAAAATGATTTCCAAGACAGCAATTCAATTTTAACGATCCTTTCGCTTTATTCCAAACGTTTCGGACTCAATTCGAGCCTTCTTCAGTGATTCTAATAAACACAAAGAAAGGATAAATAAATCAAATGAGAAAAAAAAATAAAAACGCAATATCAATAAATGCAAGAGAGAGGAAAAAGCATAGTCACATGTATGCATGATCTATAGGAGCGACGCGACTTCGTCAAGGCGGGTCCATCCGAGAAAGCACGATGCAAAAAGCCCTCTCAGCGGTACAAAGCGCGAAGAGCGATGCACTAACAAAATAAATAAAATCAAAACTAGTCACACGTCTTAAAAAAGAGAAATTCATTGACGTTAATTAAAGGCCACTCACTCACTCGGACAAGAGACAGACCAGCAGAAACGAAACAATCGACAAGCCCACAATCGAATAGGCCGATAATTCGAACGGCAACGGTAATTATTAGAATCACTGAAGAAGGCTCGAATTGAGTCCGAAACGTTTGGAATAAAGCGAAAGGATCGTTAAAATTGAAAATTGCTGTCTTGGAAATAATAATATAAAGGATTCTCAGTTTCTAAACGAACATTTTGAAAAGTTTCTACATAAATAGCTCTGCATTCTTCATCGCAAATTGTTTACATTTTCCACTCGTGTTTCATAAACAGATTTTAAGAACTTTCACAGAAAAAAAAACTTTTTCAAAATGTTTATTCAGAATTTGAGAATCTTTTATATTGTTGTTTAGAAAGCAATGGAGAACATTTCGAACATTTATTATAATAAATGACTAATAAATAAATAAATTCTACTCTAAATTGTATCTTTGTATATAAAATATTTAAAACCTAAAATTTCTTGGTGCAATTTCTCGAAAAATGTTCACTTAAATAAAGAAAGAAGAAGGAGAGTTGTATGTACAAAGATTCAAAAGACTTTTAAGATGATATATTACTTGACTTCTATTGCTATCTAAAATTTTTGAAAGGATAGCTACGCCGACAAAGGAGAGAAAGGAATTTCGTTGCATTTAATGTACTTAAACCTTCCTCTCGAAAGCAAAATTGATGTCTGTTAGCATTTTTCCCAAAAAATAGTCAATCGTGAAATAAACGGGTGGAAAGTTTTAAAATGAATACTCTGTATATAAACAGGGTGTCAGGGCAATCTCTTCCCAAAAAAGAGCTCTTGTAGCTTACTTCGAGGGTTTTTCAAAATTTAAAATAAAGTATTTTTTTATCGTGTACTTTTTGAGTTATGAGGCTTGAAATAATTTCTTAATTTTTACATAACTCATAAAATATTTAGTAAAATATTCATTTTTAAGATAAGCTGCAAGAACTTTTTTTGGAGAAGAGATTGCCCTGACACTCTGTGTGTGTGTGTGTGTGTGTGTGTGTGTGTGTGTGTGTGTGTGTGTGTATATATGTATGTATGTATATATGTATCAATTACTAATAATTACATAATTCAGTCTTTTAAACTTTCACACAAATTTTGAGTACTTAAAAATTTAAAAATTAATAAACTTTATTAGGTAGAATACGCAAAAAGACAGAGACTGGCGGGTGTAATGGTATTTAGCATCGACACGGACGATTTTCGAGGACAATGTTCGCAATCGTTGCAAAGGTATCCTCTAATGAAAACTATTAATGAAGTTTTGACAAGGAACACGGTATCACGCGAAGAGAAGAAAGAGCCAAACTTATCTGTGCAATTATCCTCAAATATTATATTTGCACTATTAATCACAATGATTTCTTTTTCTCTTTAAACAAATATCTATCTTAATCGTAAAAAATTGTTAAATTAATATAAAAAATAATAATAATTGATAACAATTAATAACTAACAAAAAGCATTAGACTGCGCTAATACTGTTTGTAGATCGTTCCTTTTATTAATATTTTTTGAAATTATATTGTAAAAATATATTATTAATCTGCAATATAACATGTTACTTATTTGTGTATATGTATATATCATGTACGAATAAAAAGAAATTATGTGTTTTTCTCTTGGTATAAAATACATTACATTATTTATAATATTAGAATAACATAAAGCTTGCGCTTCGCATGCGCCATTTCTTCTTTTTTATTATTACATTCTTAATAATAACTTTATTATTTTATTATTATAACATAATCATATATTATGATTTGTTTTTCGTTATGTTTTATCAAATATTTCTTTATGAATGTAACTTTTTATTTTTTTTAACAAATATAGTAAAAAATATAATAAACAAATATAATAAAATATACTTATAATGACAAATATTTTTGATCTTTAAATGTAATAAATTATAATAAATGTTCAATGTAACCACCATCTTCTTCTAAACATAAAGCAATTCTGTGTGCTCATGAAATTTTCTTTCACACGACTTATATGAGAGAAGTGATCTCCGCACATGCGTTACGAATTTTATTTTTAAGAATTTCTGTATTTTCCGGCAGAGTGTGATATTTTATCTTTTAATATGTTCCACATAAAAAAGTACATAGGCATAAAATCCATGGGCAGAGATCACTCTTTTGATAAAACAAGTGAGAAACATTTTCAGGATTGCTCTATGTTTAGAAGAAAATAGTGATTATATCGAGTTTTATAATTTATTATATTTAAAAATCAAATATATTTTTCATCTTAAGTATTTTTCATTATATTTGTCCAAATTTGTTTATTAAATTTTATTTATCTATTTTTATTATATCTATCGTTATTTTATCTATTATTATTTGATTGATTATTAGATAAATATTTTATTTTATATTATTAAATTTCACAACTGTTCATTATAATAGAGTGAAAAACAGATTTCTTTTTTCTTATTCCTAATTTGATCTTTCTCAAATTCCGCGTAGTAGATACTTGTTGATCCCTGGCGATTTTTTTTGATAACACCAAGCTTCAAATGTATGATAGCCTACCCGGCTGTATGGTGACTAAAAAAAATTACTTTCATTGCCGTTGCCTACAAATAATATAATATTTGAAAAGCTTCAACTTGATAGCATATGCTGTGGCTTTCCTTACACTACTATAAACTATAACCTTAGAAGGAAATCCTTGTAAGAAAAAATATTTCAATAATGTGAAATGTACAAAGCAACAATTTTTTTAAATTATAGCAGAAAGTAAATTGCCTTTTCTAAAATGATAAATTATTCACATATTTTACATTTGTCATATATCTTATATTTATCATATCTGATCACGATATTCCAATGAATATCGTTAGAAAAAGACGCCTCAGTAGAAATATCTCATTTGCATATATCAGAGAGACGAAAAAAATATATTATAGTTGCGTCTGCAAATGGACGATGAAACCTATTATATTATCGATATAAATCTATTATTTCGATGCTTTTGAGACAAAGAATGTATTATGAAAATATTTATATTATTTATAAATTTTACGACATTACATCAATTTGCATAAAACATTTTATATTGTTAGCTTTTGATTATATAACAAACATCGTGCATAAATTATAATTTGTAGAAAGTTATATGCAAATATCTTTTTTATTGTATATACAGAATGTCGCAGAGTACTATACCATATATAAGCACTTGTAAAGAGCGCAGTAAATTGAAGAAACAAGTCCCAGCATTTTACAATTTTCGCAATAATAGAAAGAAATAAAATTAATTAATTAATTATATAATAATATTAAATAAAATCGATCGAATGTGTATCTACGTGTGTGTTTGTGTGTGTGAGAGAGACAGGGAGAAAAAGAGAGAGAGAGAGAAACGCTTGGCCGTTCGAGCTGTTGCATGATTCAGTGTGTTAGGCATTTTGTGGGCGCGCAGCAAGGGGAGAAACAGCGTGGCGTAGCGATGACATTGTAATGAATGACAACAGCATGTCTCGTTGTTCTCTCAATTCGATGATCGGACAATAACACAGTATTCAACTTTGGCATAAGTATAAGAATCAGATTTTTTAAAAGATTAAATTTATTAAAAATTTATATTTAAGAAAATTTTTTTGATAATTACAATCTATAATATTTAATCAAGCACTTAAAATCGCTCAGAGAAGATTGAAAATATATCATTACATTTTTAACGTAAGATTAATAATTAAGTCGATAGATTTCGAAGGTTTATTTTGTATATATGTCTGCCATAATATATAGTAATATTTTAGCAACAAAATAATAATAATACGATTTTCGATCTTGATGGCATATGATGTCAGCCTAATATTATGTGCCTCGGCTCTTTTTTTCGCCCAATGACTTTCAAACAGTGAAGTGATTGTGCGAGACGCTTCGTTAAATTTCTTTTCTAGATGCGATCGCGATCAATTGGAAAATTATTTACTATAATAATATGATTAATTTTTATAAATGTCTGCCAGAAGGTGATCGCGATGCTTGCCAAGTTTTTATTAAATTCTGTAGATTTGGATTTTTTTCAAAGATTCTAATATTTTTAATATTAATTATATTATTAATATAATTAATATGATATAATTAATATAATTATATTATTAATATTAATTATATAAATGCATTTTTAATTAATGTTTAAAAAATTGTGTGAAAATAGACAACGTTTTGTTTTTTGTTAAAAATCTTACGAAAACGATATTAGTATTGGCTTACAATATTTTTACTTTTCTTATATTCACGTTTTGATTTTATTGTACAATTGTATCTTACAAATTTTCAAGATGACAGCGGTAAATCAATACTAAATGGAACGCAGATGTTGTCTCTTGAAGTGAGAGTTGTGCTTGTCCGAATTTACCAGATGTTTTTCTATTCTCGCATAGATTTTTCTTGCATAGATTTTTATCTACAAATTTGAAAGAGACTATTCTTCCAAATAGAACCTTAAAATATTCTTTTCAATATGTGACAACAATTGTTGTATTGTCAATATTAATATAACATAATAAAGCTGTTTTTTATATTTTGATTGGTCTATTTTAAGGCGAAAAAGAGCGAAAAGAGAGATTTTAGCATTGTCACGAACGCCACTATACAATTTCAAATTTATTTTCTTCATTGGTCTCACTATTTCTTCCCGATATTTTAATTTCTCTTTTCTTTTCTTTTTTCTATTTTCTCAATGTATTTGCGCTTATCTGCATTTCATACATTTTTGTGTTTTATTAACTTTATCTTAATCTACTCCTTTATTTTTGTTTTTCTGCATTTTCTTCGTCAGCGTATTTGTTTTTTTTTAGACTATTTTATTCCATTTGTTAAAAAACATACACGGAATATAAATGCAGAGGAACGATTATTTATTTCGGAAAGGCAACAGAGGATCTGTAAAACATATCAAATTTCCGGTAATATATAATACCGATTAGGTTCTAATACATCCGGTTCTAAATGCATCCTTTTCGCGGTTATGTTTATCTTTGTTTTTTGCTTGAGAATGAACAGAGAGAAAAAATGATCTGGCTTGGCTGATTCGCGCGTATCTAACTCCTAGCAGTCTATAGCTTACAGTCGAACAAATCGGTTACGGTATGTTAGCTTATCAGCTATGTATAATCGTTATCTGGATTATTGAGAAACGTTCTTGGTGATAAATAGCGGGAAAAATTCGATATTGTCTAATTATCTTAAATAAATAAAATGACATCGTTATCACAACCTTGTTAAAAATTAAAGCAGTTTTTAGCAGTTAAATGCAGTTTTTTGATTGATTATTGACCAGTACCGATTCTTTTCTAGTAGTTTAACAGTAAACTGCTTGGCATGCTAATCAAGATGCAACGCTTTTCGCACAGTTACTTCACTTCATAGAAAAAGTGTTTCACATTAAATACGGAATTTTAATGTTTATCGTATATTTCGAAGGTATTTTCTGATAAATACCATTTTTAATCACTGATAACTTGTTAAACATATTAAATAAATCACATTGAAAGGAAATTCAGTGTATCACAATGTTGTTTACTTACGTGGCGTTCTTACTTCTATTTTTTGAGCCTTATGTTCATGGTGAGTTTGCGTGTAAAATCTACATTTTTGTGAGATTGATATATATGTTGCATTATATATATATATATTAATATATGTTGCATTTATTTCTAATAATACAGAATATATATATATCTTATACCATGTATCCAGTTGCTAAAATTCCACTATGTAATATATTAATAAGCGAAAATAAAAGCCGACACACAATGAGAAGGCGATATTTTTATAAGGCTTGTGAATGTATATACAGAGTCTCGAAATTAGCTTCCCATATTTCATTTATGAATGGATCATTGATTTTCTGATTGACTCTTATTGATTCTATTAAGTTTTTATTATAAGTCTTATAAAGTCAAATCAACATGATAAAATCGTTGCTTGTTACGTATTATAGGTCTTATAAAGTCAAATCAACATGATAAAGTCGTTGTTTGTTACGTCGCATCTTGGGCAGTCGATAGACCTGCAAATGGTGCATTTTCCTTTGAAAATTATCATCCACAATACTGCACTCACTTGATTTATGCATACGCTGGTTTAAATGCCTCAGATTGGACAATAAGAAGTAGAAATCCTTGGGAAGATATAGAGAAAGATGGTAATTGCAACTTCTTTATAAGCTTATGTCCAATTATAATAATTTAAAATTATTAAAACAATTAATTGAGTAAAAGAATAATTTGTCTAATAAAATTACTAACATACATGTGAGATAAAACCTCAAGTTATTTAAAGAAAGAGAAATTATCTCAACAAGATAAAGAGAAATAATTATAAAATATTAAATAATTCGGAAAAGTTATTAATTAATTAATTCTATTTTTTACTAATTTTAATTTTTCGGACTTTCATTAACTTAATTATTTAATTTATTCGATTAACTTATATTGCTATTGAAATTATTTAATTTATTCGATTAATTTATATTATTACTGAAATTATTTAATTTATTTAATTAATTTATATTATTACTGAAATTATTTAATGTATTTGATTAATTTATATTATTACTGAAATTTCGTAAATATAATTTTAAAATATTCGGACGATTACAGGAATTGGTAACTATAGAAAGATGACAATGTTTCGTCAGAAAGGTTTGAAAGTATTACTCAGTATCGGCGGATGGGCTGAAGGCAGCGTGAATTTTTCGATGATGGCTTCATCAGCGGATAGTAGACAAACTTTTATCGCCAGCACTGTGAAGTTTCTCAAGTGCGTTCGTCCCAATATTAATTATTATTTTTTTCTTATTTTTATAGAATATTTTATAATAAAAAATTAATTCATCAAGAACTTAGAAATGTTTTATATGTAATAACCGATAAAAATCGGAACACGACTATCGGACTACTTTGAAATACGCGACTAAAGTTTAGTTTGATATTGAAACTTTTTATTTCGCTTTATTTCATATTAATCCATTTGGTTTCCTTTTTTCTTTATTATACATTTGCTTATTTTTATATTTTACTTTCATTTTTTGTAAATAAAATTTTGTTGCAATAGAACATACGACTTCGACGGGCTGGACCTTGCTTGGGAATTTCCTGGACACCTTTTCGGTGGTGCTGAGTATGATAAGCAAAATTTTGTCAGCCTCGTACAGGTAGGGAAACATTATAATTTACTATTATTATAATTAATTATTAATATATAATATTATTAATATAATTATATTATTAATATATTTAATATTATATCATTAATATATTTAATATAAATTATTATATTAAAAACACTCAAACAGGCATAGAGAGCTGGAGATCATTATTAGTCCGGAATTATACAAATTAAATAAAAGTAAACAATAAAAGGTTAAAAAATCCGTTTTAATAATACATAGACATTAAGACATTTAAGAACGGACGTTTCGACTTATATTTAAGTCATCTTCAGCGCATGTTAATTATCGTAAAGTAAGCGGATGCTGTACGCAGTAAACATATTAATGGGTTTTAAACACGATAGGAATTATCTTACGGTTGTGTCCATAGATGAAAACGGACCTTACAAGTTTAGGTTAATAGGCCTAAATTGTCTTAAATTGTTATGTTGCTCTTAAATTGTCTTAATGTCTATGTATTATTAAAACGGATTTTTTAACCTTTTATTGTTTACTTTTATTTAATTTGTATAATTCCGGACTAATAATGATCTCCAGCTCTCTATGCCTGTTTGAATGTTTTTAATTTATTAATTAAGAGAACTTCATTACTATTTAATAAATTATTATATTATTAATATAATTTACTATTATTATAATTATTATACATAATTTATTATTATTTCTATTATATTTCTATTATATATAATTTATTATTATTTCTATTATTATTTCTATTATACGAGATAAACGCGTTATTTGTGCGATAGGAATTGCGACATGCTTTTAACCAGTACCACTTTTTGTTAACGGCACCTATAAGCGGAGTCAAAGAAGTTATTATGTCGGGGTACGATATTCCTAAAATTTCCAAATATCTCGATTACATTTATGTCATGACATATAATTATCATGTAGCATGGAATAAAGTGGTTTTTCCACATACACCATTGAAAAGCAAAGATCATTTAAATGTGGTAAGAAATATAATTTTCGGATGAGCAACGATATATATATGCAGTCAAAATTCAACATTATCATGTAATTGTCTTTTCAATATTTATTAGGAAGATACTATTACATATTTATTGAAAGAAGGCGCACCAGCTGAGAAATTAGTCTTAGGACTGGCATTGTTCGGAAGAACTTTTGTTCTTACAACTGTACCATCAACACCAAAAATAAATCCGTTTGGTTTGCCCAGTCTACGTATTGGATTCAGAGGACCTTATACATTCGACGATGGTTTCATGGGATTCAATGAGGTACTTTCCACCATATTTCTTATATTTATATTATATTCCATAATTTTTATAATTTTTATGTCTTTGACAACTATCGTAAAAATTATTTTTGTTTAACTTTTCGTAATTACAGTAAAATATATGATAGAAAAATTGTTCATGTGTAAATATGTGAAGAAGATATAAAATATATAAATAAATATATAAAATATATAAAATATATTATAAAATATATAAATAAATTGCACATATTTTAAACACGCAGATTTGTGAGGAGTTGATGTTACATCCTCAAGAATGGACAGTTGGATGGGATAATTATAGCAGCACAGCTTACGCGATTAGAAGAGATCGCGTTGTGGTTTACGATAATAGCAAAGCAATTATGATAAAGGTATCATCTCTTTTGCTTTTTTTCATGAAACACATCTTCTACTAATTCTAAATTTTGTATTGAATTTTAACTATATGTCTATAGAGACGAATCTGGAATTTCTAATCAAATTATTAAGTCTTGTAAATTTTAGGCTTGAAATAATTTCTTAATTTTTACATAACTCATAAAATATTTAGTAAAATATTCATTTTTAAAATAAGCTGCAAGAACTTTTTTTTGGAGAAGAGATTGCCCTGACACTCTGTGTGTGTGTGTGTGTGTGTGTGTGTGTGTGTGTGTGTGTGTGTGTGTGTGTGTGTGTGTGTGTGTGTGTGTGTGTGTGTGTGTGTGTGTGTGTGTGTGTGTGTGTGTGTGTGTGTGTGTGTGTGTGTGTGTGTGTGTGTGTGTATGTATATATGCATCAATTAATAATAATTACATAATTCAGTCTTGTAAGCTTTCACACACAAATCTTGAGTACTTAAAAATTTAAAAATTAATAAACTTTATTAGGTAGAATACGCAAAAAGACAGAGACTGGCGGGTGTGATGGTATTTAGCATCGATACGGACGATTTTCGAGGACAATGTTCGCAATCGTTGCAAAGGTATCCTCTAATGAAAACTATTAATGAAGTTTTGACAAATAACACGCAATCGTTGCAAAGGTATCCTCTAATGAAGACTATTAATGAAGTTTTGACAAGTAGCACGGTACCACGCGAAGAGAAGAAAGAGCCAAACTTATCGTCTGTGCAATTACCCTCAAACATTGTATTTGCACTATTAATCACAATGATTTCTTTTTCTCTTTAAACAAATATCCATTTTAATCGTAAAAAATTGTTAAATTAATATAAAAAATAATAATAATTGATAACAATTAATAACTAACAAATAGCATTAGACTGCGCTAATGCTCGTGTTTGTAGATCGTTTTTTTTATTAATATTTTTTATTATTTCATAAAAATATATTATTAATCTGCAATATAACATGTTACTTATTTGTGTATATGTGTATATCATGTACGAATAAAAAGAAATTATGTGTTTGTCTCTTGGTATAAAATACATTACATTATTTATAATATTAGAATAACAAAGCTTGCGCTTCGCATGCGCCATTTCTTCTTTTTTATTATTACATTCTTAATGATAACTTTATTATTTTATTATTATAACATAATCATATATTATCATTTGTTTTTCGTTATGTTTTATAGAATATTTCTTTATGAACGTAACTTTTTATTTTTTTAAACAAATTATTATGTCCTAAATAAACTTTGGTAAACGTTTACTTTAGGTTACACAGCTCAAAACTTTTTATTTTTACATATTGTAGAGGATATATTCCTAAGTAATACACTGTTCGAATTTTGTGGCAATCTCTCTTCGTTCCTGAGATATGCAATTTTTAAATTTTATACTTACTTGTATCATCTTTTCGTTACATTCTAAATATGTTTATATTTTTCTGCTTACATTTCCCAAGATCATCTTTTTGAATAACTTTCAGAAGGTTTTAGTCGCTTGTTATTTATTAAATAGTTATTAACAGAAAAAGTTTCATGAATAGAATATAATTTTACCACATCATGTATGTTCAAGAAGAAATATATTTAATAAGATATATGTATTTATAAACTTTGCTTTGTCTTGCATAGTACATGCGTGGACACCACATGGTCCGCCCCCCTCCCTCCTACGGGGGGGCTTCACTTTCGGGAGATATAACCTAACCCAACCTGTGTCTAAAGTATAGAAAATATCTTGATATATGACATTTCGCTTTATATGGTTCATATGATTTATATTGTAAATAAAGCTCACGGAAAGCATATCATTAAATTTATATTAATTTATATTAATTGACTCGCGATTCTGTAATTAAGGCGTCCGTTAAATTTTATAATGCTTATATTTAATCATTAATTTAGCATCAAATTTTTACATTTTATATAAAAATTTTCCGAATTTATTAATGACTCTCTTTGACATGAAAATACAAACAGTTACTCTTTTATGAATATTCCAAAAATATATACTTCAGAAACAAATACTTTAATTTAATGAATTACTATTATGTTAATTATTATTATGTAATTATTATACGTATACTTTCGATAATTTTTCGTGTAATTTACATAAAAATTCATAATCGTAAATACAATTTCATATAATATAATTACAGTCATAATTGTATTGTATTTTATAATTAAAATATCAATGTTAAATTATAATTAAAATACAATTATAACTATTTATAATTTACAATTTACAAATTTATGATGCTACCAATATCAAATAATAATATTCCATTTATTCAAATACTTAATAACATCGATATAATAATTTGATATTGATAGTATTAACATTTGGATTTAATATTATATTTGATTTAATACATATTTTTAAGTTTTAAAATAAAATATAACATGTTATGTTATGTTATTTCTTAAACGTTAATAAATATGCAATTTCTTTAATATTTCTGAAGATAATTTTGATAATTTAAATCTCACTTTTAAAACATTTTTATTTTTAACATTTTTATTTTTAAAACATATTATATTTATTTTTACAACGTTTTTAAAAATAAATTCAACTTAATTAATTTTAATAAGGATTAAAATAATTTTAATTAGAATTATTCGAATATTAAAAGAAAGAATGAATCTTACTTAATAGCCCTAACAATCCTACTATTACAGAATTCTAATAATCTTAAGAGCCCTATCAATCCTAATATCAATAAAAGAATTCTAATGATTTTATTTAATAACTTTAACAACTCTACTTCCTGATTAACTAAAATTATTCGAGATTTGAGGAACCTATCTCTAATCATCACCTCACCTAATCATGTATATATATTTTAGTATGTATGTATATTTATTTATATTCACGTGCCCTAATCGCATGCCCTAACAGCGTGCCCTAACCGTACACTGAAAAAATCGTATTCTCAACAAAAATATGCCACTTATTTTTAAAATATATACTAAAGATAAGTGGCATATTCTTAAGTTCAGAATACAATTTTTTCAGTGTACTCTTCAGGCCAGTTGAATCTACCTGTCGTTGATCCTGGCCACTTTCTTTCTCGATCTCTAATTAGAGATCGAAGAAGGAGATAATTTCTCCTTCTTTTGCCGGATAATTACCGGCAAAAGAGCGTGAAATATTTACGCTCATTTAGTAAGGATCGTTCAATTTCACGATTATTCGTTAAATATTAAATATAACTTTATTTTAACTGAAATAAAACCAAATTATTACAAATTTCTATAAATTATTTTATTTTATAATAAAATATATAATTAATGTGTATATATTTATCATATTACAAATTATTTAATTAATTAATCATTTGGCTTTATATTAAGTTATTTATATTAAGTTAAAGTAAAGTTTAAAAATAATATCTACAAACAAATTCTACGATGGATGAGCTATGAGCAATTAGAAAATAAACGCGTATTATAAGAATAAATTAACATCAAAAATTGATAAAATTAATAATTGTTAATGGGTATCCTTTATTTAATAAATTAGACAAAACCTTTACAAAAAAATCTGTTCTTGAAATCTTCTCTTCTTTTTTCAATTAATATTTCAATATATTTTCGCAATAGACATAAAACATAAGTTCGAAATAACTTATTAAAATTATTTAATTTAATTAATTTAATTTAATTATTTAATTTAATTTATTTAATTTAATCCTAGCTCATCCATTTTAAGACAACGGATTTATCTACAACCTACATCTACATCTACATCTACATCTACATCTGCATCTCTACGAATCCGTTATCTTAAAGTTAAATAAAAGTTTATTTCACTTACCGGCACTGAATGCGCAACAGCGGAGTTGTTGTTATTGAAGCTAGTTGTCTGTAACATACAAATATAAAATTCATTTATAATAATGCTCACAAAATACAATTAATATTTTAAAAAATTTTATGGCACGGAATTTTATATCCAATGTGTAAAATAATAAACAGATAAACACGCATGGGAAAATTTTATAAATTTTTGAAGCTGTTTTTTAAATAGAAAATTTTATGACTTTTATAAAAATCTTCGTTTTTAATTCATTTAAATAATAAATTTAATAATTAGAGACTTGGCTCAAATAATCGAAAAATCAAAACGCAATCAAAATGGCATAAGAGCCAACGCGCGGTAGTTGGAGCGCAGAGAAGCAACAACATTTCTTTTTTTTTCAATATTAGTTTATTATTATTATAATAACAAAAAGCGAACGTTTCGGATCATCTTTTGATCCTTTTTCAGCACGATGTTAACAATATACAAATAGTGACGCGTTACATTAAACGAATTTATTTTTATAATTTCTCGACGCGTAGGTGACGCTAAATAGCATCCCGCGGAGATCTAGTAAGCACTTTGCTTCCAACAGTCAATTAAATATACTATAGTTATTGTCAATTAAATATATTTATGCTATGCGACGTCACAGCAGATCGAGTAAAAATAATTAAATAAATATCAAAAAATATTACACGTGAATAAGTTTTTTTGCTTAAATTGATAGTTAGAAGCATGGCTCACCAGATTCCACACGATTTGAATAATAAAATCGAATTATTGTTCGTTTATAACAAGTTAACGATTTATAACAATTAATATATAAATAATAATATTCACCATCAGGTTGTTCCGCCGATGCAGGATGCCTCTCCTAGGCCTGCTCCTCCTCTCAGATTATCAGAGTTGTTGCATCGATCTATAACAAACAAAAAAAGATTCCAATGTAGCAGCGTTTAAAATAATTAATATTTCAAAAATTATTCTATACATTGAATTTTATATTCGATGCATATAATAATAGCAGATTAATATAATAATTCTATAAAAGAATTGTTGGAAATAATATAATCGTTCAAAACTAGCCAGAAAGTTTTTGTTTATTGATTACGACGTTTCGACCATACGGTTGTGGTCCTTTTCAAGTAAATAAGATCAAATGACAGATATAAATCATAGTGTTATATAATGCACAAGTCACGTTTGCACGATCGTTATATCTTAATAAATTTAAAATCGAGAGATAAAAACGATGTGTCGGTGTGAGACTTCATCAACGAAACTTATTTGATCTTATTTACTTGAAAAGGACCACAACCATATGACCGAAACGTCAATAAACAAAAAATGTCTGGCTAATTTTGATCGATTATATTATTTCTAACGATCCTTTGATTAATTGACTAGCAATATTAAGATAATTTATGTTATAATTCTATAAATTTTAAAAAACATTACTAATAATTCTTTTATAACTTTATAAAAGCTTACACCTTTACAAAATTATAGCTTTAATTTAAAAATCTTTTTCTTTAATTCTACCTTAATTAAATATAAATAAAAAAATATAAATAAAAACATCAAATTAATTGTTGCGATTAATTGTTTAATTTAAATTAATTTAAATTATAATAAATATGTTTGTAATATTTAATATGTAATTACAAATAAATAAATTGCTTACCAGAAGCTTACCAGAAGCTTGCTCTACTGGAGCCCGATGCCTCCTCGAGGCCTCTTCCTCTTCTCTTGTTGTTAGCGCGCGATACTTTTAACGACATTTCCGCACTCGCGAGCGATATTTTTATATCGCTATTTTCGTTATTTTACGCGCGATACTGAACGACACTCCCGCATTATTTCAATACGATTAAAAATATTTATATTTGATCGCGCGATGTACATACTTAATATGTATATACCTTTAACGGCACTCCCTAATATGTATATACCTAACGCGACGCGTTGACGAAGCGCTTGCCGTCCGCGGCACGTTGACGGCACCGACGACGCGAAAGGGTACTTGGCTTCCCATTTAAACACCTTAAGATTTATCATAAATTGGAAAATTTAAGATAAATCTCAAGGCACCGTCCAGGTACTAAGCCCTCCCACCGCGACAAGGTGTACCCCATGGAAGGGTTATATTATATTATATATAATTTTATATATAATATAATATATAATTAATTTTGTAATATACTATATAAATTTTAATTCGCAAATATAAACGATAAATAAAAATATAAAAGATAAGAGATAATCTATTATATAAAGCAATGTTCAAAATAATTGTTAGAGAAAGAATTTGATAATATATGGAACGTCTCACATCACTACCTCACTGTTCGAAGGCCACTGAGGGAATGATGACGTAGGTCAGAAACATTACCGCGGTACTGTTTATATCGCCAAGATTATGTAGAAAGAGAATTTGATAATATATGAAACGTCACTACTTTATTGTTCAATATTACAGTGCGAATGATCGTAAATCATAAAACGTCGTTGAAATATTCTATGAATGATTATCGATTGAGAAAATTTAAAACATTGGTCGAAATTTATTCAATTTTAATAAGTATCGTTAGAGAAATTATTATAATAAGCATCAATAATCGAAAGATCAAATTAATTTCTTTATCCTCTTTTATGTTCCCTTTTTCAATTTTTATTCGCAGTAATTAATGACTGCGATTCGATAAAGATATATCGTTGCGATACATTTTCATGATCTTTATCATAAGTTAATTTATTTTTAATAGCTATTTTGAAAATAATACATATATAAATAATAATAATAAATAAATAATTTTTATAAATTACTCACTAATAATAATAATAATAATTAATTTTTAGAAATTACTCACCGCATATCTCTCTGACTGCTTCAGGCTCTTCACTGCTCTCTGAGTGTCCGATACTTTTCCAGATGTCCTTCTTTTTTCTTCTTCATCCTTTGCTGTTTCCTCATAGCACTTATATTCACTCGCGAACAAACAATTAATTATATTTAGTCATATACTATAGAAACAATCGCGAGACTTTTGCACGGCACTCCCGAAATCGCGGAATAATTACAAGAAACACACATTAATATATCTTATAAGGGATAAAGAAGTACGATTCGCTCTACAATAGTCAGAGCGAATTATATTTCAATAATAATCGCGATCACGTTTAGGAAAAGAATTCAATAATATGAAGTATTTTGTATCACTACTTTGCCGTTGGAATGTCGTTTGAATAATACAAGGTCGTCTATGTATTTATAATTTTTGCCTCTTTTGTTTCAATTTTTATTTGGAATAATGAAGGATCGTGTTTTGATGGATGTATCATCGCCATATTTCCTGTTATTTATTAGTTTTCTGTTATTTATTAGTTTCCTGTTATTTATTAAGAGTTAATTAATTGTTAATTGTAATAGTCGTAGCGAATTATATTTCGATATTAATCGCAATCGCACTGTTAGAAAAAGAATTCAATAATACGAAGTGTTCCGTATCACTACTTTACTACTGTAATGTCGCCGTGCGAATGATACAAAGTCTTCGCCTATGTAAACAATACAGCGCTACGTCATCAAGGCCGAACGTCATGTTATTGACCTCGCTGCCGAAATATTTTACGCGTACTATGACGTACATACATATACGAAAATTGAATTTATATACAAGTATATTTTTAAAGTCACACACATGTACACACAGATTAATTATTTATTAAACGATTAACATACATCACAAGGCTTTCCATTTCGTTAATTATTCGATTTTGCCATTCGATCGTTTTACTTTTTTTATTCATATTATTATTCATATTATTTTTTAATTTAAAAAATTACTAGCATAAAATTAGTAAAATTATGATTACCTGATGGATATATCGTTATGTTTTGAGCGGTTTTAACGAATCTAAAATAATAAATTATATTTTATCACGAAATATATTTGACTATATGTGTTAATAAAGAAGTAATTTTATTCGTATAGAACATATAGTAATTTTGTTCGTATCACTATATATATATGTTATTGAAAATTCATTGCCGAAATATTTTACGTATTATAAGATACGTATACAGGGTTGAACATGAAGTAAAACAATCGAATTATAGATGCAAATAATTAGTATAACGAAAGACTCCGTGATAAATTGTTTGACAAATAATCAATTTTAATCAATAAATTAAAATACTTTCATAATTTAATATCCCACGTTAATATATATTTTATAATATATAAAATATTTCGGCAACGAATTATAGATAACACGGCATTCGACTTTGGTAATATAAAATATAAACTGCAGCGCTCTATACGTTACCGCTTTGTCATCATTCGCACGGTGATTCTAAAGTAATAAAATAGTGAGAACCGCTTCGTATATTGTAATTTTTTTTATTAAACACGATTATGATTAGTATCGAAACATAATTTATACAAATATAAATAAAAATTAATTAATTAAAAATTAATTAATAATATGAAACTATACTGCAACGATAAATCTTTATCGAATCGCCATCATTCATTACTGCGAATAAAAATTAAAATAGGGAATACGTAAAAGGGCATAGATTTAATTATGTTATGATTTTTCTATCATTCATGCTTATTATAATATTTCTTTAACATCATTAGAATCAAATATATTTCTACCAATGCTTAAATATTCTCCTTGTTAATTAAACAATAGCTATGTATCACAATGTGTAATTATTTTAATCTTTTAATCTTACGCTACATTAATACGTTAGATATATGAGATATATTAATATGTTAAAATATTTCAACAATGAATTAACAACAACATAGTATCCGACATAAACAGTACCGCGCTAATGATTTTGTTTTACGGTCTTGTTATGTAAATTTAAATTTATATAAATTAAAAGGAATTAGGCTCTATATGTATTTAAACAACACTATAAGAAACTATCGAATAAGAGACACTGCGGATGATAATGCGTAAATTCTAATTGTTCGCGAAAATTTAAACGAGCAATTTGCTTTAAATATTAATAAAAATTAATTAAAAATTAATTAACAATATGAAACTGTATCGCAACCATAAATTTTTATTGAATCGTAATCATTAATTATTGCGAATAAAAATTGAAAAAGGGAACATAAAAGGGATAAAGAAATTAATTGATTAACCTTTTATTATGATCTTTCGATTATTGATACTTATTATAATAATTTCTCTAATGATACTTATTAGAATTATAAATAAATTTTGACTAATGCTTTAAATTTTCTTAATCGGCAATCACTCGTAGAATATTTCAACGACGAATTGTAACAATAACATAGTATAAGTCGATCTTGGCGATATAAACAGTATCGCGGTAAGGTTTATGACTTACGATCATTCGCACAGTAACTTTGAGCTGTAAAGTAGTGACGTTTTATATATTATCAAATTCTCTCTCTACATAGTCAATCTTGGCGATATAAACAGTATCGCGGTAAGGTTTATGACTTACGCCTTCGTTACAGAATCGCGAGTCAATTATTATAAATTTAGTCGTGTATTCGATAAGAAAATTTTCGCTCTGTAACTCTGTAGCTCTTTCTTTTTTTCTCTCTTCGCTCTTCCTTTTTTACTTTACAGTGCTACATAGCTTATAGAGATACAGCGTTATAGAACATTTTTACAAAATAGACCCATTAATGATACTGCTTTCCGTTAGCTTTATTTATTTATGAATTTTATATCGCACGGAACTAAATATTCTTAAAATAAATTATTAAATTAGGATTGCGAAAATACCGTGTTCTTTCCGCGTTCTCTTCGTGTCCTTACACAAGATTATCATTTTAGTAAAAGAATTTTATCGCTGTCCCTCTCGTCAAATAATATTCCTAAATATTGTTAATTAAATATAAAGAAAGGTCGAATAAGAGGGTGAAGATTCGATGTGATAAGTCAACGATTAAATATTAACTTCACAAAATTTAACAGGAATAAGAAACAGACCTATTCATATATTCATTCATACACAGAAAAAAAAGAAGTGTCAAATCAAAACTTATATATACTGAAACTAACGTGTTCATTGTTTCGTATATACGCAACAATTTATAGTCTTCTTGGAAGAATTTAATAATTTTAAATTTCAACAATATTATAATCTTATTTTAATATTGCAATTGTCACCTCAAGAATATATAATTATTTAATTTTATTTTAAGAAAATTATGATCTTTGATTTAAAAATGTTATTTTCTATCCAACATTGTTTCTTTTCCATTCAAGAAAATTAAATCTTAAATCATAAGAATATTTTTCTTGATTGAACTATGTAAAATGGCTTTATTCAAGCAATTATATCTTTCTTTAATCAACGCAATATAATCTCATTTCAAGATTTCCACGTTAAAACTAAATATATTTTCAAAACAATAATATCCTTTTTTTCTGTGAATGAGTGACTGACGGTGAATGGAATCATTCATGCATTCATTCATATGTAAAAAGTGAGATTGTGGAGACCTCTGTTGGACAACTAGAAGAGATTTGTTCTCTTAGCTGCGCTGGCGTGGACGTGCAACCATGTGCATGTCGTTTAACCTCCATTGTGAAACATATCCGAGTATATTTGATCATCTTCGATATATCTTGAATTAATTTTTTACAATGGGAAAGCAAAAGCGGCAGCGGCATAAGCCTCACAAGGAAAACCCCACTGGATTGCCATCCGTCAAAGAATTTGAATTAAGTGAGGGAATTACGGAGGGAGCCAAAGAGAAAGTTTTGCAGAATGCTTATGGAGATGTAAGCACATGTAAATTTATCAATGTGATGTATATTGTCCAACAAAGGATTAAATTAATATAATTGATAAAATTATATTAACAGAACAGAATTCTTTGATCTCTTTATTGTTTATAATATTTTTTCTCAAATAGGTTCAGTCGTGCAATCTTGAAGAGAAATTATCTGCTTTGCAAATATTGGCGTCAATGTCATGTGATTCTTCTATGGCCAAGCAAATTGCTAAAGATGGAATAGCAAAAATAATTGGACCGCTACTGATGGATCGTAATGCCGCTATACAAGCCAATACTATACATACTCTAAGAGATATTGCTGAAAATGGTAGGGAAGATGCTTATAATGATTTAATTAAGGATGATATTATGACTCCACTGACTGCATTCTTGAAACAGGTACAAAAAATGCATCATTAATGAATTATATATATATTTATTAATTATATATATATATATATATATATATATATATATATATAACACAAGCATTAAAACTCACCCTGTATATATATATATAATAAATATATATATATATATATATTTATTATATATATATATATATACAGGGTGAGTTTTAATGCTTGTGTTAATCTTTTTATCATGCAGGAGATTACTGACTGCATAATAAATTAATCAGTACATAAATGTCAATTATTTGGATTGACTGTATCTAAGGTCCGAATATAATGTGTACAATTAAAGCAAATTAAAAGCTGAAATTATATAGTATGGATTTATTATTATTATTATTAAAGCTACATATTTATTATTATTATTACTATTATTATTATTACTATTATACATATTATATTTAGGCCTTCGATACGGTTGATTCAAATAATTGACATTTATGTACCGATCATTTTTTTATGCATTCGGTAATCTCCCGCATGATAAAAAGATTGACACAAGCATTAAAACTCACCCTGTATAAATATATATATATATATATATATATATATATATATATATATATACATATATATATATTTAACATATATATTATATTTTAATATATCTAAAATTACTATACATTAAAATCAATTATTATAATATATAATAGTATGATGAATTAACGTTTTTGTCTATAGCATTCAGATTGGGAGCCGAAAAAAGCAAGAGAAGAGAAAGAGACATTTATTCAGGCAATTGATTTATTGCGAATATTATGTGCAAATAATGAAATTGCACTTAAGTGTGTCAATGAGGAGGATTTAGTCTCATTTTTAATCAAATTTTTAGATATTAACATTTATGGAATGGAAATTGTTACAATTGCTACGCAATGCATGGTATGTCTATCGGATGAGAATGACATTGCTATTAAGAAAATTAAACAGAGTCAGTCAATTTTATTTAATCTACTGGATTTGAAAATGGATGATGAAAAAACTGCCTCTAAAATGCTGGCCTTAAAAACTTCTGTAGCTAATCTATTAATCAATATAAATAATTATGCAGATAGTAATCAGATGCAGATGTTTTGCAAAATGTTATTGATACTTTCTGAAGTACTTGCTGTTGATCATAAACAAGTGTTGGCTTGTTTAATATCTATTTTGCCTCATGAAAATAATGCTGCCTCGAACGATAAAAGGAAAAAGGTACAAGAAAATAGAAAGATATTGGAGTCACAAGAACAAGCTTTGCAAATTCTAGCAAACTTATGTTACGAAGACGAAGACAGTGACAGTGACATCGATTCTGACATTGATAATCCTGAAACAATAGACATAGAGTCTGAATGTTTGGATGATGATTCTATGAATGACAATTTGAAAATAACGTCGACATTTCCAGTAGAACTGATTGAAGTTGTAAGCAATTGTAACTTAATTGATAAAATTTGGGATAAGACTGAACTCGTAGTAGATAAAGACAGCCAGGAAATATTGAATCAAACCACGGAAGGTAAAGCTGTAATAAAACAGTTTCATGATATTCGATGCGCAGCTTATTTGTGTCTAAACAATTTATTATCCAGCATAGAAATCGACGTTTTTGGTGGAATTGATAATTTGTACAGGTAAATTACCTCTAAATTCTTTGAACAGCAAAAACTACTATTTTTCTGTTATATGTTATAATAATTTTCATTTTATTACGTATTCAGGAAGTGGCTGGAAATCGGGACGGCCATATTTAAGGACGTCACTTCGAACGATATAGAGCTGCTGGAAGCGGCTACCGCTGCTATGAGAGCCATTCTTCAACAATTGGCAGAAGTGCGGGCGAACGTTTTTAAACAATTAACTGTTGACGACTGTCAGCCGATGTTAAATGGTGTACGTCAATGTTCCAACGCGAATGTCCGCGTCAACTTGATAAGGATGCTCTGCAATTTGGTACAGATCCTAATGAATAACAAAAATTCCGAAGATTACGAAATGATAAAGGTAATAACTTTCGCGCTTTTCAATCCAATTAGAATTTTCTTACAACAACCGTTTGTCATCGACAGTTTATTTCCACGTTCTTATTGAACATCTGTACAACGGAGACTCAAGCGTGGATTATAGCGGAATCTATAGACGCAATTATGGACATATATGCGGAGGACGAGACTGATTGTTTAGCAGCAGAAATCGAATTGGTGCCAAAATTGTTATCTATAATACCACACTTTAAGAGCAAAGTAATATATTGTTTTGTAAATACATTTCTTAGAATAATACAAATATACTATCGGTATAATTTTTCATTTTACAGGTGCGACAGCAGAAAAAACAATTAAAAGATAACATGTCAGTGGTATCAACTGTAAATGCAAACTTAACAAGGTTTATAAAATATAAACAGAAACAAATAAGAAATCTTAGACAAAAGAGTTAAAAAAACTCTGTTAAACGGTTATTTAAATGAATTATAGAGATCATGTGATTGGAGCTATTTTTACAATAAATAATTTATTCAAAAGCACTCCTTCGGAAAAAAAAAAAAAAAATATATATATATATATATATATGTATATATATATATGTATATATGTACTTGTTCTTTTTTTCAATCTTTGCACCCTTTTTTATTTATTTCAAATTATTGCTTAACTTATGCATTTTTAACTCAAAATAGGATTATATTTCTTATCACAGGATAGGATTTTAACTTTATTTCTATGGAGGCTTAGGTTTTATTTCTCATATCAATAAATAATGAAAAGTATACTTAGAATATTTCACAGTATAACATATCGCAATGTGTCGGAAACGTAAAGGTAAATCACTATAATCATGTAGCATAAAAGAAATGCTAGAATTCCGTAGCGAATTTTATCGCAGAAAGATAAGACATCGTTAGTATGAAATCGTCAATGATCAAAACAAGGAAACGTCGAAACGAAGACACGTAATATACAGCCTTCGAGTAATAGCTCGTTTGTATAGAAGTAGTAGATTCTTTCGTTGCATCAAAGTTAAGAACTTACAGGCGACATTTGCGCATAAAAATCGCGGTAAGATTTCACTGGTAAATCTGAAATCAGACGAAACTTCAAGATTTCAAAAGGATCCTCTCTTACCATTGTTTTCCAGGCTCTTGTTTCCATTCTTTGAGAGCCTGGACTCGGGAATATCTTTTAGACTTAGCGCGCTATGCCTCCTAGGCTTTGGTATGGGGTTCACCTCGTCCAAGAGTTCGGATTTGTGCCGGATCGGTTCGGAAATGTGTAGCTCAATCACCTTTACCGCGTCCCGTGGTGCCGCGACTGGTATTGGTGGATCTGTTAATCGGACAATATGAATATCTTTCTGCTCGCACGGTAACTTTTTAAATTCTAACTTAATCGGACCCGATGGACTATCCACCATATTCTCGAAGAAGTGCCGCCGATTCGTCTGAATGGACAATCGGGTGTTCGTCACCTGGTCGTGATCCGGATCGTGACACGTGTCATTATCGATATTTTCTTGTTCTTTGGACGCTTTGTTTCTACTCTCCAGAGCTTTGATTTGCTTTTCGATCTTCTCAATCTCCTCCTTTACGGAAAAACTATCGCTTCGCGTTAACGTTCCGGATGAATCTTTTTTTCTCAAACAGACTTCGTCAGATTCTGGATCGACATCCTTGATAATCTCAATTTTTTCTTGGGACGTTCTGTTGTACTCTATGTTTATAGGATCTTTTTCGATAGGATCCTCGGTAACCGTATTCGTCGTTTCCTCTGCCTTCATCTCCAGTTCGACTTCCTCCAAAGTTTCATCGGAGTTACACGCTGATCTTTCTTCTGAAGAATCCTTTTTCTCATTCACTTCAGGCACACAATCCTCCAAAACTTCACACGATTCATTTTTCTCGGTACTTTTCGCAATATCATCGGATAATGTATCTTCGGCAGTTTTTAATAGTAACTCATCCTGCTTCTCTTCTTTTTGCGTTGATTTTTCATTTAATTCCTCACAGCTCTTCTTTGTCATCTCATCGATATTTTCCGTGGCTTTCGTGATATCAATAGGCTCGATTATCTGAAGCTCGAGTTTACTCGCTTCTGGTTTAAGCTCTGTTTTATTCGTCTCTGGTCGACTGTCAGTTTCCTAGGAAAATATTGTACAATTAATTCTCTCGATAAATATATCATTTATTATACAGGGTATGTCAGATCACCCGTACCACCCATTTAAAAACTAGAGAAGTGGTTATTTCAAAAAAGTAAAAAACATTTTCTTTATAAATCGGGTGCGCTCTATCGAATGATATGGTGATATTTTCAATTTCTGGTTCCGGCCAGAAATAGGCGATTCAGACTGGAAGTGCATTTTTTTAAATGAAACCCCCTATTTTTCATTGCATATTCTTGTAGCTTACCTCGAGAGCTTTCCAAAACACTGTAATAAATTATTTTTCCATTAAGTATTTTTCGAGTTATGAGGCTTGAAATTATTTCTTAATTTTACATAAACCATAAAATATCTTGTTTTAAAAAATGCACTTTCGGTCTGAATCGCCTATTTCCGGCCGGAACCAAAAGTTGAAAATGTCACCATTTGATAGAGCGCACTCGATTTATAAAGAAAATATTTTTTGAAATAACCACCTTCTCTAGTTTTTAAATGGGTGATACGGGTGGTCTGAAATACCCTGTATATAAGTATTCTATTTCCACATACCAGAGGAGTCTCCAAAGGCTCCTTCCGTTTCGGTGGTTGCGGTGCTCTTCGTTTTTTACGTCCGTACGTGCTCGCCGTACTGGTAACGGATACGCAACTGTTAATAGACAAATTCGATTTCCTCACAGCATCTTGGCTGAATCTCTTGAAGACGTAATCTTCAGGCACGTTTTCATTCTCATCCTTCAAGCTCACGTTGCCGGATTGATTGGCCAGATCTTCCTCGAGGTCCGACGTGGTTCCGTTCAACCTCTGCGACGATCTATTGCCGAATCTTCGCCTAAGCCAAGAAATTATATCAATATAAGCAAACTTTGTAATAATTAAATTTATATCTGTAGTGAGGAATTATTTTGTATTGTTAATAGAAATTTAATTTCATTACTTGATACTTGCAACAACTGAAACTTTGAACTATCACAAGTGTTAAAAGGGTTAATATAAAAGAAGCAAAGGATCTTACATTGGTGGAACCGGAGTTCTTTCTGATTTGTCATGTAGACCACCATTTTGCTTGGGATGCTTCTCCTCGAAATTTAAAGGTGGTATCTTGTCCGTTGGCCTCGGGCTGACCTGTCCAAACCTAGATAAAATTATCGAATATAAATAAAATAAAGATGGGAAGGCGAAACTGTGCTGAGATGGACGTAGCGTATAAGAAGGTAAAAAATTGACTTATCATTTTTCAAACATATAATTGCAAGAATGACATTGCTTTATGTTAGATTTATTTTTGTTTACATGACATTGATAAGGATCCGGAATAGAATGGAAACGTACGTTTGTCAAATATCGTTAACGATTTATATTTGTTCTAATACTGTCAGCGTTTTACTTTTGCGAATTATTTTCCATGTTATTTTATAATGACTTCATTTTTGTCTGCTTTTGTCAATAAGAATATATGGTTAATTATTGATCACGACACCTAATTCTATTATTTTATTTTTACAAATAGCATTCTTGCAATTATACAGTGATGGGAAAAAGTTCCGGGACGGCTGGATAATTTGAAAAATACGCATCACAGAGGAAAATGACCTAGACAAAAGTTGTAGGATTTTTCCCGGGCAATCCGACGGTGACCTTAGATTTGACCTTGGATAGTCATTTGAAGGTCACATAAAGATTACCTTCAATTTCTTAAATGGAACTCCCTATTTTTCATTGCATATTCTTGTAGCTTATCTCGAGAGCTTTCCAAAACACTATAATTAAGTACTTTTTGAGTTATAAGGCTTGAAATAATTTCTTAATTTTACATAAACCATCTAGTAAACCATAAATATCTAGTAAACCATTCATTTTTCGATTATCTTACCTTCATACTTTTAGGTACAAAATAATGAGAGGAATCAATTGGTGTAAAGAAAACACATAGTTGTTTCTAAGAAAAAATATGTAATTTGCAATTAACAATTCCATATTTTTTCTTAAAAACAACTGTATGTTTTCTTTACACCAATTGATTCCTCTCATTATGTTGTACATAAAAGTATGAAGGTAAGATAATCGAAAAATGAATGGTTTACTAGATATTTTATGGTTTATGTAAAATTAAGAAATTATTTCAAGCCTTATAACTCAAAAAGTACTTAATAAAAAGGTACTTAATTATAGTGTTTTGGAAAGCTCTCGAGATAAGCTACAAGAATATGCAATGAAAAATAGGGAGTTCCATTTAAGAAATTGAAGGTAATCTTTATGTGACCTTCAAATGACTATCCAAGGTCAAATCTAAGGTCACCGTCGGATTGCCCGGGAAAAATCCTACAACTTTTGTCTAGGTCATTTTCCTCTGTGATGCGTATTTTTCAAATTATCCAGCCGTCCCGGAACTTTTTCCCATCACTGTATGTTTGAAAGCTGACAAGTCAATTTTTTACCTTTTTATACGCTACATCCATCTCAGCGCAGTGATTTCGCCTTCCTGTCTTTATTTTATTTTGATTGTTATCTATCAACCACTTTTATTAATTTTAATTTTTATCGAATATAATTTTAATTTTAATGAAAACAACTTCAATGCAACTCCCAAAATCGTATCTTTGTCACAGACTAATGATACTATATTTTAATTTCCGTTAAAAATTTTTAATTTATGTCAATTTTTTAATCTTAAATTCTAGCATCTTTGAACTTTAAATGCAAAATTTCTATTTATAATATCCAATTATATTAATCAATAAGAGAATCTCTTTTAAATATATACATATAATAATAATAATAATAATAATAATAAATTATTAAATGTTTTTAATTTTATGAAATCTCGCCTTCTGACTGGTGGTTTCGGTGTGAGATCAACACCCATGATAGACGTCGTTGTGTCTTGCGGATTTCCATCGTAGATTTTGGCAGGATCCCCGTTCACTGTCACATTCGAGCTGTATCTCGAGGAATTATTGTCGAGAGTGTACTTCCTCCTCCTCGTCAGAGTACCCAGAGCTTCATCGAACTCCTGCTGATCCTTCGAGAGACGTGGTGGAACTATTGGTTTATCGTAAGGCTCCCTCTTGTACGTCGTCGAAACTGCAGCACGCGATAAGTTGCATTTTAATTTACATGGTAAAGTACATCATTGATTACATAAACGTTGCGGCACTCCATTCTCTTATTTTGCATATACACTCTACGAAAAAAGAGCTTATTTTTACATTTCTAGATTGTCTTAAATATATGTAACATGAATATATGTGAAATTAATTGTAAAATAAAATATTACACATAAATATTAAATAAATATTAAATTAAAAATAAAATATTAAATAAATATTAAATATATATAACATTAATTATATATAAAATATATATTTATAAAGCACTTTATATAAAAATACAATAGATTTAAGACAATTTGGAAAATAATTTTCTCATTTATTATTGTATTCATATTATGGTACATTTTATTTTCCAATTTAATTCAGATGGAATATGTTTTATGAACGAATGTGATTAACTGGATGAACGAACCTGTTGTGATCGTCGACCGTTTTTCTACCGGTTCCGAAGGTTCTTTGCGCTTTCCAAACAATCCACTCCTAAAACATCGAAAATCAACATTGAATCAAATGTTCAATATTATCTTATTATTGAATCATAATAAAAAGGCGCAAATAGTGTTTATATAGACTGAGTTTTTAATTTATACAGGGTGTTTCAGATCACCCGTATCATCTATTTAAAAACTAGAGAAGTGGTTATTTCAAAAAAGTAAAAACATTTTCTTTATAAATCGGGTGCGCTCTATCGAATGGTGATATTTTCAACTTCTGGTTCCAGCCGGAAATAGGCGATTCAGATCGCAAGTGCACTTTTTAATGGAACCCTCTATTTTTCATTGCATAATCTTGTAGCTTACCTCGAGAGCTTCCCAAAACATTATAATAAATTATTTTTCCATGAAGTACTTTTCGAGAGTTATGAGGCTTGAAATCATTTCTTAATTTTACACAAATCATAAAATATCTTATAAAATATTCATTTTCCAATTATTTTACCTTAATACTTTTATGTACAAAATAATGAGAGGAATCAATTGGTGTAAAGAAAACATACAGTTTTTAAGAAAAAATATGGAATTGTTAATTGCAAATTATATATTTTTTTCTTAGAAACAATTATGTGTTTTCTTTACACCAATTGATTCCTCTTATTATTTTGTACATAAAAATTAAGGTAAGATAATGGAAAAATGAATATTTTATAAGATATTTTATGGTTTATGTAAAATTAAGAAATGATTTCAAGCCTCATAACTCGAAAAGTACTTCATGGAAAAATAATTTATTATAGTGTTTTGGAAAGCTCTCGAGGTAAGCTACAAGAATATGCAATGAAAAATAGAGGGTTCCATTTAAAAAAATGCACTTCTGGTCTGAATCGCCTATTTCCAGTCGGAACCAGAAGTTGAAAATATCACCATTCGATAGAGCGCACCCGATTTATAAAGAAAATGTTTCTACTTTTTTTAAATAACTTTTAAATAACACTTCTCTAGTTTTTAAATAGGTGGTACGGGTGGTCTGAAACATCCTGTATATAATGATAACTTTTTGGATTAATGTATAATGATTATGTCATTCAGTCAGGAATGCTCTGATTCCGCCAGTAGGCGACAAATAACAATCGCGTTTCGTGTTAGTTCCTTAACGGATTCACGTGGCATTTACGCGCACGCAAAGATGATGAAATTGCGGGCCGCGTCGTTTGACATACTTTGTACATGCGCCAGAAAATTTATAATCAAGCTAGCACTGCTTATCATTCACGTTCTAAAAATTTTTGCCAATTGAAAGATCTTTCGAACTGAAATTTAATTAAACTATACGACGTCGCTCGGCGAATTTAAAAATAAAATCGTGAAAGTCATCGAAAAAAATATCGTACCGGATATATACAGCACCCGTGACGTCCGCAAGCGCATTCTTTAGCCATCACATGCGAGTCAAGTGCCTCTAGAATGCCTCGAAACACATAATCGACTTATTGTGCGAAGGAAAGAAAGAGAGGGAGAGAGAGAGAGAGACAACGAATTCCCTAAAATAAGAGCTACGAAATTCTCCCATATGCATTTGTAGTCGTGTTAGAGGCGTTGATTGTATTCATCCTCATCATCCGTTTAATGTCACTTCCATTTTACCGACGATAATTTGAAGCGCACTTGTATTCGTCTCATTCCATGTACTCTCGGGTGTAATTTAACTTTCGGTACGACGCAGATTCTTCGGCTTCTCGCACTTTTCCGGTCAATTCGAAATATTCCGATTGCCAATCAGACCAGAACTCTCTGTTGTTTCTAATGAAAGTATTTTTAGTCACGCGAATAACGCGAGAGTATCCCTTTATATACAGGATTGACTTTCGGAAAAAATGTGGCACGACTTTCATACAATGTAATTATACGTGATATCGCGGATAATTAATTTTCCCGTTTTAGAAGAAGAATAGATTCAATTCAAAATTGAAAAAAAAAATAGAAGAGGCTCGCTAGGGAGAATATTATTATGTTTCATATCAATATCGATATCAAAATCAGCTGTTTTACGGATTATTTATATTTCTTTGTATCTTCTTTTGTAAAAATTGTGGACAGAAATTTCTGCACGATGCCCGGACGTGCATGTGTCGGAATTTTAATGCATCATAGTCTATAAATATCCTTTGATCGTTCGCCAAGTAACAGTGCTATCGATAATCTAAACCGCGAGTGCAAGTTCAAGTTCAATAAACCTGCGACGATAATTTGGGAATATCCGCCAATTTTGATTCATATACATTATCGCTGCTCGCATAATCTTCACAAATGTTTACATAATCTTATCATGCAACGAGATGCAAGGGCAAAGAGAAAATTTATTTCGAATCACTCACCAAGACTTGATCGAGAAGCTGTTCGACCTCTTCTTCCGGCTTCTGCCGAACGTCCAGAATTTGTGCTTGGATTCCTTCGATGATTTACCCTCGTGATGCATTTGCGACTGAGAATTCGTCGTATCATCGTTAAATGGATTTAAGTGCTCCGGATAATCGTAGATCGATACACTGGGTCGTCTGGACCTCTGGGACGACGACATGATTTACCCGTCAAATTTCGATCGGTGTCTCGAGAGAGATGTTGGGTGAAATGTCGTGGGAGTCCTTCGTGCACAGGTCATCGATTTTTCGTTACAGCTCCTCCCACAGTCCTCGCAATCTGCAAACTAATTTCGCCGGCATATTAATCCGAATCGATCGAGTAGGCTATTCATGTATTAAAAACCCGTGTTAGAATATTTAAATATCAGCGTATATCGGATACAAAAAAAATACGCCTCCAAAGTATTTAAAATATGAAACATTATAATTGCGTTATATATAAATATATATTTTTTAATTTTAATTTTAAATGATCCGCTCCCGACAGCTCGATCATGTAACTAAATTGAGAAAAAAATTGTAAATTTGACTAAACATTTTCAACGAATTATTATTTTTTTAATTGAAATATTTAAATATTTAAATTAAATACGACATATTAAACCTAATATGACAATCTACTTAATTTAAATACTTAAATATTTCAATTAAAAAAATAATTAGTTGAAAATATTTCATACATATATATTTTATTTATTTTATGTATTAATCAAGTTTACAATTTTTTTCTCAGTGCAGTCGTATATTAATCAACATTTTGATTTTAAATGGTTAAAGATTCAGAGAAGCTATAGAATGACACTTGGACGATTCTAGGACCTAATAAATAATAATTATGTTAACGCTAGATATTATTCCATAATATTATTAAATATAATCGCATTTATATTGTATCTTATAAATACAATTAAAATAAATTGATTGACGAAGTAATTAAGATAAAGATGAAATAAAATGTTTCGAAGTCGAAAAATAAATCGTCCTGCCGACTGTCTTGTACACTACTTTCATTAAATTAATGTGTTACGTCACTAATTGAAGATCACGAGAACGATAAAATTTGTCGGCATTTGTTCGCAATTAATTACTAAGCGAGCTATCAGCAGCTGGATCATAGACGATAAATGAGAGGAAAGGAGAGCGATAATTGTTGGACGTGCGTACGTCAATTCGGTTAAAATTGAATGATCCGGAATGAAGCACAACGGCCGATATTGCTACAAGCCGACGAGGAATTAAGTTGGTGACACTAAAAGACCGTAAACATGCGTCACGCATAACCAGGTTAACAAGATGTCTAATCGTCCGCTGGATTAAAACGCAGCTGTATGTCATTTACATGCAGTTACAATGCAATTGCAAGCTGTCCTTCTTATCCTTTCGATTACGCGATGGATCGATACTTTCATCTTTATACAATCTTAATGCAATTTTTTTTCCTCGATTTTAACGTAGAGTTTTTTATGACAAAATTATGAAAATATTCTGAAAATATTTGAAATCAAATATAGTTATTTTGATTCGCAAGGATTTTTATGACTTGGATCGTTTAAATGATTTGTGTATTTTTAGAAATAAATATAATCTTAGAGATCTTAAGAGATGGTAGCGAGAATAGGAAGAACGAGTGCGTACTAAAATGCGGATTGGTGCGTGCAAATAATGTCTAATAAATGCAATTAGTTCAATTAGCTCGTCGCGTTCGCGCTTCGTTTTGCTCATCTTACGCATAGCGACTCGGAATTATTCGATCATGCGTAACTTTCGAACACGGTTCGCGTGTGTATTCTATTTTAGTCTAAGACAACGGAACGCAAAATACGTTTGAAGGTTTTATGCTAATACTTGTCATATAGTGCTGATGCACGCGTAAGTCACTCACGAATAATAAATCGTTGATGATCTCAGGAAAAAATGTATAAATATCGGTAAATATACATATTTTGCGAGGCGGAAGGAAATCAAGATTGATCGATTTTTTATCGTTTAACATAAAAAATATTATAAAAAATGTTACTTGTAATAATTTTGCGAGACATACAAATATTTATATAGTTTTTTTTACTATCACACACACACACACACACACACACACACACACACACACACACACACGTGTTCATAAAATTAAATTTTCCACAATTTCTGTTACAAAAAAATTGTATTTTGACGAAAGGCGAATTTCATTGTAAACGACATTCGATTAAATTTTTCCGCAGTTATTTTGGAATACGTTAACCCGAGTGAACTTTATAAGGTATGCGAATGTCCAATAGTCATCCGAATCGTTTCATCTTGTAATCCGAGGCGCCATTAAATTACACAGGATATTCTACAGTGACCTTTCAACTCTCGGATATTTTGTCCAATTTGAAATTTGAAATTGACCTTTTCTCAGCAGGAATATCGAGGAAGGTCATTAATCATCGATGTTATTTTCCTGACATTTCCTTAATGTTGCTTAGTAAACAAATCTTTGTAAATAATCCACGCGTTATAAAATATATTAAACACGCTATTAAAATACGATAAAGAGAATTTTATTATCCTTTAGATTCTGCATCCCTGAAATTCGATTCTCAGAAAATAATTTCTAACTCTATCGTTTCGAAAAATTTTGATCGACTTTTCGTCCCAAGTTCATCTGCGGACAGATAAAAATGGCACGATAAATAATTTCGAGACACTCCGTATGCTTACGCGTTTTATTATCGGACGCCGAGCACAATCGATCGATCTTTGATTATGACGTAACCGTCTGATGCACAAGTTTCGCAACTCGCGAGTAATGCGCTTGGAAAAAGATCTCCTTGTGTCTCGAGTTAACACGCGTCGAGCTTCTCCTCCCCCTCATCATCCTTCCTCATGTGCTCTACAATGCATACCACGTGGCACGTATCATCTGCGAGAAGCGACCGGAGCGTGTCGCTAACATAACGAGCACAATAAGAAGGCATACTAAATATACTCAGGCGTGACGGATACATGGAAAAAAAATAAGTGTCAAAACTTACATACTTAAACTAACGCGTTCATTGTTTCGTATAGACGCAACAATTTATAATCTTCTTGGAAGAGTTTAATAATTTTATTAAATTTCAACAATATTATAGTCTTATTTTAATGTTGCAATCTTCTTGGAAGAGTTTAATAATTTTATTAAATTTCAACTGCAATTGTCACCTCAAGAATATATAATTATTTAATTCTGCTTTAAGAAAATTATAATCTTGGATTTTAAAATGTTAGTTTCTATCTAACATTGTTTCTTTTCCATTCAAGAAAATTAAATCTTAAATCATAAGAATATATTTTTCTCGATTGAACTATATAAAATGGCTTCAATCGAGTAAGCAATTATTCAAGCAATTATATTTTTCTTTAATTAACGCAATATAATCTCATTTCAAGCTTTCCGTGTTGAAACGAAATATATTTTCAAACAATGTCCTTTTTTTCTGTGCACGTACTAATTCCTTAAGCGAGTAATAAGCGACGTTCTCTGTCTCACCTGTTATTTTCCGAATAATCTGATTATCCAAGTAATAGATAGATCCAAGTAATTTGCTATAGATTCCGGGAGCTTCGGAAAATCCTTTCAAAGATCAGCCGCTGTGCAAAGTCGACCGCGGGCAGAGAGGGGATTTAATCTAATCTCTCCCTCTCTCGTTGTTGACGGGAGAAGCATTTCACTGCATAAGCAAGTGCCCTCGCACTTTATTTAATCGCTAGGATGACGCGAAATCGATCGCTGATTTCGATAAGACTTAATAGGGGCATCCCGTTTTTATCTCTCTTTTTATCCTGTCTATACAGGATATCGCGAAATTTTTCTTCTTCAAGCGTAGTTTACAAAATGTATAATAACAAAAGCGTTTCTGGTATTCTTTGATACATGGGTGACCGCGAAATAATTTCTGTGTTTTGCATTTGAGTTTACGTGGCGGTAAATCGTCCTTGAAGGTCGGATTGAATAATAATAATTTCAATATTGACGTTACCACATTTGTCAGCTGTATATAATTTAAACAAGCGATATATCTAAGTTTAACCGCAATGATTCATTATCCCATGGGACTAAACTCGCGAACAATGTAACTTATCTTATTCTCATCGGACTTTTCGATGCGTTGGAATGCAAACTGATTAAAAATTGAGTAAAAGATCGGGGTGATAAAAATAGTTAAAAACAAATATAATTAAAAACAAATATAAGTAAATATAAATAAATAAACAATATCTCTCAAATAAATCTCCCTTTTATTAATTTCTTTTTGTACTCTTTTTTAACAAAGATTGTGTTAATTTTAATTAAAAATTTTCAAAAAAATTTTTAATTAAAATTAACACAACCTTTATTAAAAAATACATAAATGGTCCAAATGATAAATCAATCATAATAATAAGATAGGGTTATTTAAGACCAGGAAAAGCGCAGGTGGTTTTTTCCAGCGGACTTTTTTTATTCAATAAAAATTGAATAACTCGATATAAATAAAAATAATTAAAAATAAATGAATAAAGGATATCTCTCGAATAAATCTCGAATTTTACTTATCTTTTCTGAGATTTAGAAAGAAATTGAAAGAGAGAAAAAGAAAGCTAAATTTCTCTTGTAAATGTATGTAATAAAATTACAATTAAAAAATTAAAATTGACAAATTACAATTAAAAAATTATAATTAACACAAATGTATGCGCTTTAAAGAAAATACGGAATATCATCGTCACTTACAAATCGAGCAGAACATAAGGAACGTTTTATATTAAATGAACAAGATCTCTATATAATTAAAATCAAGTACACATGAATGTACAAAAAAAGTATCGACGCATCGGGATCTGATGCGCAAAGCAAAGTCGAAAGTCCACTCGGTTAAGGATACGTAAAAAGCCTTTGTTAAAAGTAGGAAACTTGAAAATCGGGCCTCGCGCGTGTGAAAACGCAACAATTTTCTGGCTTCGACCCAGAATCGCGTCCGCTCTGTTTCACCGGAGATATATTTTTGGATCTCGAAAAATATTTTAACGAAATTACATGTCGTACGTGCCTCACGCGATATGATTCTTCTCCAGGATATCGCGGTTCTCTTTCCTTCCTAAAGATTTTTCTAGCTTTTTGACCAAGAAATTAACGGGCATCGATCAATACTCGAAAGTCGCCTGATTTAATTCAATAGTTCGCAGAAAAAGGAAATTTATACAATCAAAGACACGATTTATTTTTAAAGGAAAAAAATCTCAATTGCATTTTCTATGAAATCGTTAACTTCTTATTCTTTTTCAAATACGCGATACTGATATCGCAATTTTAAAATGTGCTTTTTTTACTTGTAACGCAGATAACGTAATCTCTGGGTGACAGCACAAAAGTAAATTCAGTAAAAAAAATCTTATTTTTTATCTTTTTCTGTCTCTCTCTTTCATTCTCGCATTGAGTGAAATTTATCAATTTCCGACAAATAGAAGGCGCAAAAATAAGAGCAAGCACTGCAGACGTTATGATTACGTTATACATGCAACGTTATGATTACGTTATATTGACGTTTCATGTTTGGCTGTGTTAGAACAAGTGTTATCGATCGATGACCTTCGTTACAAAATCACAGTCATAAAATTCTTCATGCAAGTTTCGATACGAATGGTAGAGGGGGACGACACGGTCGCCGGCTCTTAAACTTCGGGGAGACTTCATTAAAGGAGGCCGTTCGACCAAAAATAGAATCTCGTTACAAAGTCGCAATCTCGACGATCGGAAATCGTATTCAAAAATTATTTCGGAATGAATTCCGTCGCATGTGTGGATAGATTTCCGTATACAATATTCGTGGCACACGTAAATCATTAATAACTTTATTACGGGCCAAAGCGGGCCAAGGATTCGCGGCGCATTCGACGAAAATACGACGAATCGAACATCGCCTCGCTATAATTGCGAGACGGAGGAATTTATACGCTTATATCTCGAGCCTTTAACCATATTATCTCATTGGCAATTTTTAGGTATGACGATAACAAGTGACTTGCAACGGTTTACACACGGCTGTCATGTTTTCGTGAGCCGCAAGCGAGCTTATCGCGAACGTGCGGATTATGCTAATATTAAACGCGATATATATATTCGATTCCCGTGTCTCGACAATAAGACAACACGAATGAAATATCGTCGGCATGTGTTCTCCAATCGTTTTAAAAACATTTTGTACGTATACGCAATTGTACGCAAGTGACACTTGGCGTAGCAACTGTCTGCAAAGACGCATCGCGCGATTTATCACGTCGAGAGAAGCGGTGTCGAACAAGACGGTGAAAATTTGCGTTTCACTCTAGGTCCGCGAGAAACTCGCTGCGAAGTCATTGTACTTACGTAAGTGCATGTGTATGTGTGTGTGTGCTGTCGCCGTGACGTGTCGGACTAAGCGATCGTCTCCCAAGACGTAGCTCGATCAAGCACGATGCACTTTCACGAAACTGATCACAGAGCCGTATGGGAAACGCGCGAGGTGGCGAAAATCAAAGTTCAATATGCGACATCGCGAGCGTGCGAACGCGAGTGACGCAAATCCACCCTCCCCCTACGAGTCACGCCGGCAGACTGAGGCCGGCCCGGCCCGCGCGGCTGCGCCGCGTCGACCTTCGGCCGTCTTCGGCCATCTTCGGACGCCTTCGGCCGCCCGCGAATTTCGCGCCGCGTCCGATGATGCGCGAGATTAGCCGAGCGCGCACGGTGCGCAAAATTCAAACTTCGGGGTTGCGCTTCAAAATTTACTACTTTTAAAGTACAGCTGCATTTGATTGACATTTAGGATAGACATTTTCGTTTTTTGTTTATAGAATTCTTTTTTTCACAAAATTCTAAAATCTTCTAAAATTTACGAATCAAATAATTTCATTTGTATCATGTAAATTCTTCTTAATTTCTTAATCTTAATTTAATATTGTTGATTAACGACGTTTACAAAAAAAAGTTTATTAACTACGTTTATTGATTTCCAAGTTTACACAAAAAATGAAAAGTAACGTGATAAAAATCAATTAAATGCTACTGCTTCAAGGAATATTTAAATTTTAGAATGTAATCCAGAGACATGTCATGGTATATAACTGTGCTCATTTATTCATAATTTCGTAATATCATAGATTAACATTAATTTTATTATGCTGATTTATACAAAATTAACATTTTATTGTGCTACTTTTGATTTTTGTGTAAATTTAGAAATAGATAAATAGAGTTAATAAACGTTGTTTTAATCAACAATAAATTGGGAGATAAAAATCAAGAAGAATTTACCTAATATAAATGAAATTGCTTGATTCCTATTTTCGTAAATTTTGGAAGATTTTAGATTTTTATGGAAAAATATTATGTAAACAAAAAAAGTAATTAAAATTTAAACATTCTTTTTCTAATAACATTTATTTAGTAAATCGCAATGTTACATACGCTGACTAATGCTGATTGAATGCAAGCCCGCACATTTCTAAGTGCAGGATGCATGTTTATCGCGTAGGTAGGCGTTAGTAGAACTGGCTTGGAAAATTGCACAAGAAAAGTTGCAAGTAAAAGTACAGAGGCGCAAATTTTGCATTAAGAAAATTAAACCCATTCTACACGAATTAAATCTTTCGTCTCTTCATACGAAACTTTTCCAAATTTTTTCTTTTCAATTTCTAAGAATTCTAAGTCAATCTAATCTTAAGGAATAATTTTCAAATTTTGTTAAATATATTCGCACGTTAAATAAATAAATAAATATAGCACTCGATAAAAGAGACTCTGTGATAACACGAAGTTAAGATTTATTTTATTCGCATGATGTAATGCATGTTTGCATCAATAACGTAAAAATGCAGAATGATGTAAAAATTATGTCCAGAGCGAGCATTATTATTTTTTCTCTTTCAACATTCTCCTTTTATATCATCTCACTCATTGAGATACAATTAGACAGTGATCTCAACAAACGCGATATCTACACTGTATATTTTGATCGATGACATTGCGAATGAAACAACTACGCGTGACGCGTTTACGCACGAATGGCTGCATCTTTATACCATAATTCGCAAATTCGTGATCAACGATACGCACGTCTTCATCTCGCGAAAAATTCAGATGCAGGAATGATTTATCCCATGCTACACACCTCGATTCAATAGTACTGATTACATCGCCAACCTGATAAGATAACTTTTATCGTGCAACTTTATTCAGTAAAGTTTGTTAATATTCCCGGTAGGTGCCTGAGGCTTGTTGAAATTGATAAAAAAAAATATCGACAGGAAAAAAAAGGCGAGAAGGTCTCTTTGCTAGAATAAGGTATCGATAATCCCCGAAAAACAAGCAAAATCAGTCAACTTATAGATATAACGTTGAACGGCTTGAAGTCGTATTTAAGATAGGAAGGATCCGTGAATCTTTTGAAATCATTAGACTTTATTATCCCATAATTCGAGCATTGTACGCGAGTATAATGGAGCCGGCTTTCAAGACTGGCAACGCAATGAGACTCTCTATTGAAAATAATTATGGGTTGATCCCGATGCAACTGATACGAAAAGTTCACCGTACAAAATCTTTTTATTCCTTTGACCATCGGTCTAGTGACGTGACCTTGATGAGAAAAAGAAGATGTCACGCTTTTAAAATAAATGTCACGTTAATTCTCGTCACGGGATAGAATATTATCTATGTGAAGCTAATGCTAATCTCAACAAAAGAATTTCTTTGTGTTTTGCGCGATATATAGTTCGCGATTTTCTTCCACTTATATGAAGGACTAATAGAGGAAAATAAGATTTCCTTATCACGCGCGCATTTTTCAATCGAATTATCAAGTGCCGCGATGTGCTGTAATAGAAGAACAGCTTACGAGATGACCCATTTTCACCTTGACTTGACTGAAATGCTCGGTAGATCAACAACGTTAAACTTGGTTATATTATAAAGTGCAACCTCTATCGTCGCATAAAAATAATACAATCTTCTAAACATTCTTAGGATTAATAACACGAAAACTTGCTCAATTAAGAGATAACAGAGAGTAGATTTTACACAAAACAAGAGAATCAAAGCCACATATGCAGAGTCACAAGCAAGCTTCTCTAGATACGCTTTTAAAAAAAATGTGCTCGCCAGAGGTCATTCAATAAATGTCAGCTTAAACTGCTCTCCCGCTTCAATGACATCTTAAGGAGATCTTTAATGTCTCTTCGCGATTCGTCAAGAATACCCTGCATTATTATTATACGCTCGCAATTAGCTGCCAAATATAAATTTTGTTATACAGGGTGAGCCATTTTAAGTTACCCATCCCAATAACTTTTTTATTTTTCAATGTACAACAAAATGTTTCAAATAAAAGTTGCTTGACTTCGAGGGGGACAGAAGATGGTGGCAAAACATACAAAGAAAATATACAATTGTTTTTAAGAAAAAATATGAAATTGTTAATTACAAATTATATATATTTTTTTAAAAACAACTGTATGTTTTCTTTACACCAATTGATTCCTCTCATTATTTTGTACATGAAAGCATTAAGGTAAGATAATCGAAAAATAAATATTTTACTAGATATTTTATGATTTATGTAAGAAATGATTTCAACCCTGATAATTCAAAAAGTACTTAACGAAAAGGTACTTAATTATAGTGTTTTGGAAAGCTCTCGAAATAAGCTACAAGAATATGCAATGAAAAATAGTAGGTTCCATTTAAGAAATTGAAGGTGACCTTTATGTGACCTTCAAATGACTATCCAAGATCAAATTTTTGCCACCATCTTCTGTCCACCTCGAAGTCAAGCAACTTTTATTTGAAACATTTTGTTGTACATTCAAAAATAAAAAAGTTATTGGAGTGGGTAACTTAAAATGGCTCACCCTGTATATGAGACCGAAAATCGCGGTCGTGTCCTAAATAGAGTGATAATGCAGAATTGTCAGCCAGTCTTGAGAGATTAGCGGCGTTCGTCTAAACGAGGAATGAACGGGTGACGAATCTTTGCGCAAGAAATGCGTAAATTACGAAGGTAAGGTGTGCGAAAACGCATTTGCGCATCGCGCTAATTCTTATGTAACTGAAACAGAGGCTCAGAAATTGAGGCTTGTTCGGTGCGCGCGTACGCGATATGTGCACGCAAACGACAAATGGCTCGGCAACTATGCAAATTTAAGTGCAGGATGATCCATCCGTTCGTTAAACGGGGCGAAGGTCTTCGTCGCGTTAATTCACGTGATTTTTTTTTCACGCTTCGCATCGCGTGGAACGCGTGGAAATATAAAAGTCGCGGGAGGAGCTCGATTAAAACCGCGCGGAAAATCGTTGTCATCAAAATCATTGTTCTAAGGAAGATATAAAAATTAAATCGAGTTTTAACGATCATAAGATACGAGAACAATTTTTTATATCGCGAGTTTTCACTTGAACAGTGTCAGTGATTTTAATCGAACGCTACGAGAGAAGTTAACGACGAAAAATTTGTACGCATGATGAATGTATACATTTGTATGCATTGATGTATACATACTTCAGAATGTTGCGGAAGGAATTATCACGGAAACGTTAAAATGCTAGAAATTAGCGGCGACACGGTTTTAGAAAGACAATCAGAGGAGAATGCACACGAAGAGGATGAAGGAGAACAGCTGGAGGGAAAATCAATGGAAGAGATAGAAGTGATTAAGGGAGTAAAAGAAACAGAGAAGAATAAAAGGGACTTGGAAATTGATAAAAGTATTGCGACATTTTTGCGTGACAAAGGTTTGAGTGAAAATCTCGTCAAGACATTGATTAATGCTGGTCTTACGGATGAACATGTCAGGTTAACTGATAGTGAAGTTGATAAATTGCATAGATGTTTTTCGTATATTAATCAAAATTGTGTAATTTATAATCAAAATGTTATAAGAGAAATTACTTCCGATTATATTAGCAAGATGTAAATAAATATTAAAAAAATAATATGAAAGCTAATCTTAAGAAATAAATCCACAAGACTCATTTTCCTTCCGCGTATCTTTTCCTTAATTTTTTTGTCTTCTATGTTTCTTTTGTCTCTTCAGACTTTTAAAAGCTTTAAATCTAAATGATGATGACATCAACAATTTGCGAGATTTATGGAGAGCAAAGATCGAAATTAAAAGCGACGATTCTTTTAATTCCTCTACATCCGATTCATCATCCGATGACGTGCGCTTGTCATCAAATAATGTCTATTTAAAAAAAGTCTTGAGCAAACCTTTAATTCAAGCTCTTTGCGAAATTGTGGCGAAAAAACCGATCGATCCCGTGGAATATTTAGGCCACTGGTTACTTCATTTCAAGGTCAGTTAATTTGGAAATATAAAGATTCTTCAAACATTGTAACATTAAATATACAGGAGCAAAAAAAATAAAATATTGTAAAATAATTAATATTGTAAAATAAAATTACATTATAAACAAAATTATATTATATATTTTGTAAAATAATGAACTTAAATTATATAAATGAAGAGCGGATAAGAAATAAAGATAACAGAAAGTAAACTAACTCGTTTTCTGATAAAAATGTTAAATTTAGAAAGTACGAGTCGTTAAGATTATAAAGTTTCGATTTCTATTTAAGTCCTTTTTACAGCCTAACTGAATAAAACTTTAAATCTTCGATGGATATAATGTATACAATCTCTGATGTTCGGAGATTTCGTACCAATGAGTCATTATAGACAAATAATGTTTTTCGGATCTATTTATGTACTTATGATGTCATATTTCGTGTTGCAAGAATAATATTCGCTTTATTCAGTAAATTTCTCGATGATGAGAAGATTTGTAATTTTAACAATTTGTACTATAATTTTACTCAAATAAGAATTTTTTTTTTTAATGTCAAGAGTTCAAGAGTTTTTTTACATGTTTTTTTAATATAAATAAATAAGAAATATATAAAAGAAATATATAAATAAGAAATATATAAATTTTAGGTTTGTGAGGAGCGAATTATGCAGCAGAAAGAACGTGACTTGGAACTTTTGATCGATAGAGAAAAATTGAGACTGAAAGTATGAGTAATATTTTATGCATTCTATTGAATTTTCTAAATCATATTTTTCTGAATTATTTAATATTTGATATTTAGAAAATATTTACTTTGTACAATAGGAGGTTGAAGACGAACAAAATGTTTCTGTCGAGGAAAAAAAAGAGGACATATCCGGCGAGGATGGAAATTATATCAATATTTATAACGACACGTTCAATATTTATGAAGACACGAATTGATTATTAATTCAATTTATATATGTATATGCTTAAAAGAAAAAAAAGGCTTAAGAATTAAAAAAGTTTCTGAAATAATTTTACATAAAATATTCTTTATATTAATAATAAATAATTAATAAAATACTAATTATAATTAATAAAAAATAATCACATCCTTGTCATGAGGCAATTTTTTATCATTCTACCTTTGCATAAGAAAAATAGGAATAAAATATGAGCATCGAAATAAAGGAATTTTTAAATAAATAAAAAAAATGTACTCACCAGTATTTGTATTGTTCCTTCGTCTGCTCCATCGTACTAGGAACACAAATCGACTGAAAGACGCACTCAATTAATCCACGACAAAGTGTTCTAATCTTTTCACTCTTTATTCTTTGTATTCGCGCACGTACGTTACAATTTTATCGTACATGAAAACCAGTTGTTTGTCACAATATTCTTTATCAACATAATGATGGATTACTCAGTACTGGACTCTCCCGATTACACAATTAAGATAATTTGAAATACATTTCGTCAAGTACCGAACGATATAGAATCCGTTTGAATGACGTTATATCTGAAAATTATTTAATTAGATATGCCAAGTGACAGTTCCTTTTAATAACAGTATACGACGCGCCCTCTAGCGAGAAACTTGTCAAATCGGAATCATCTGTATAGGGAATTTTTTTTTTGCTTCCATGTCACGTTTGCCAACCTGAGATCGTATTCAGTGCAATAGGTCGCCCTTCTTGAAAAAATCGCTTATCAATGAAGAAAGAGAGAGAGAGAGAAGAGAGAGGTAGGAAAAGAGAGAAGATGGGGGGAGGAGAGAGAGAGAGAGAGGGAGAGAGAGAGAGAGAGAGAGAGAGAGAGAGAGAGAGAGAGAGAGAGAGAGAGCGTTATGTCAACTGTAGAGTGGAAGTCGTAGATGCCTTTGCGTCCAACTGTAACTTGGACAATTGCGCATTGATTGCGTGGATTATTGTGCACCCCGTGCACTCTAGTCCGGGAGTTTTCACCTTCAGACATGAAGACGTATATGACGTCAAGTGTACCCCGAGTTTATTAACCTGAAATCGAGACGCGAGTTTGACATAAGAACGCTGGGTCGATGTATGACATCACACTTGATATATGACTAATTCGGTCATATGTTTTTTTATATTTTCTTACGCATGCAAGTAAAGAGGGTAAGTTATTTTCCATTATTTTGCCATGTTTCTAATCGATGTCGTAAATTTAATTTCTATTTACTCCAAAAATCTGTCAACATTCATTATACATGATTAACTGTTGAATCGTTGATGAAGACTGCAACGTGTACATTTTTTCTTTACACGTTAGAAGAACGATTCTCTTACTTGATTTTGTGTGATTATTAATTGTGCTGAATTTATTTATCTAGCGATTTCGAGATGATTGCATCGGAAATTGGCTCCACGAACACAGACACTGTGAATGTTAGGATTACAAATGAAAAAGCCCCGTTGATCCATGGTAGAGGTGTGTTTCAACGACTGAGTAATATTTTTAAAATCAGAAGGACACATACGGAGGGAGATGGCTATGTCGAGTTTGGTAATCTTGGCGTGGACAGCACCCGTACATTGGGGACCTTTGCTGGTGTATTCAGTCCGGTTACTTTGTCTATGTTCAGTGCCTTGGTTTTCATTCGAATGGGTGAATAATAATTTGTAAAAGTTTGATATCCTATGATACACAAGTACCTGTCATTAACATAGATAATTTTATTACAGGGTACATTGTGGGCAATGCAGGATTATTTGTCACTCTAACTCAATTTCTCATAGCGTACAGTATTTTATTATTCACAGTCGCCTCTGTTTGTGCAATTTCGACAAATGGCGCTGTGGAAGGTGGTGGTGCTTACTGTATCCTTTTCTTATCGCAAGCAACAGTGGCATATATATATATATATATATACAGGGTCTACCAAAAGTGTGGAAACCCCTAAATATCTCGGAAAATATACGTTTTACAGAAAAGTGTTTCCAACAAAAGTTGTAGGGTTTAAGAAGATCTATATACTGATTCTATCAGTTTGACCTTGGATGGCGTCGTCAAGGTCAGGTCAAGGTCACATTGACTTTTTTAAATGACACCCCCTACATTTGATTGCATATTCTTATAGCTTAATTCAAGAGCTTTCCAAAACACTATAATAATGTTCATTTTTATTAAGTACTTTGCGAGTTATGAGGGTTGAAATAATTTCTTAATTTTACATAAACCATAAAATATCTAGTAAACCATTCATTTTTCGATTATCTTACCTTCATACTTTTATGTACAAATTAATGAGAGGAATCAATTGGTGTAAAGAAAACACATAGTTGTTTCTAAGAAAAAATATGTAATTTGCAATTAACAATTCCATATTTTTTCTTAAAAACAACTGTATGTTTTCTTTACACCAATTGATTCCTTTCATTATTTTGTACATAAAAGTATGAAGGTAAGATAATCGAAAAATGAATGGTTTACTAGATATTTTATGGTTTATGTAAAATTAAGAAATTATTTCAACCCTCATAACTCGCAAAGTACTTAATAAAAATGAACATTATTATAGTGTTTTGGAAAGCTCTTGAATTAAGCTATAAGAATATGCAATCAAATGTAGGGGGTGTCATTTAAAAAAGTCAATGTGACCTTGACCTGACCTTGACGACGCCATCCAAGGTCAAACTGATAGAATCAGTATATAGATCTTCTTAAACCCTACAACTTTTGTTGGAAACACTTTTCTGTAAAACGTATATTTTCCGAGATATTTAGGGGTTTCTACACTTTTGGTAGACCCTGTATATATAATACATTATTTATCAGAAATATGCCAATTCAGCCAACTTGTTATTTTGAGAGCTTATCAATAGATAGCTTATCAATAGATCAATTTACATGTTCTGCTTATATTTCCCAATATGTTATAATATGTAATTAAAAGAAACTTTCATTCTTTCTCTAAAGAGAAATCTACAAAATATTAATTTAATTATAACAATCTTTGGAAATTGAATCTAAAAATGTCAAGGATATTTTCCTATTAATTCTTATGTAGTTATGATTAGCCGTACATTAGGGCCTGAATTTGGTGGTTCTATTGGCACTCTCTTCTTTTTAGCTAATATAGTATCCAGTGCACTTTGTATCTCTGGATGTGCTGAGGGTTTGGTTGAAAATTTCGGTCCATCTGGTTATTTGAGCGGCAAAACTGGACTTATACCGGACGGTCGATGGTGGAGATTTTTATATTGTTCCGTGCTGAACACCGCTAATCTTGTAGTTTGTCTAATCGGAGCTGCAATGTTCGCGAAAACCAGTGTCGCAATCTTGGCGGTTGTCTGCATCTGTCTAAGTAGCGTTTTTATCAGTTTTTTGACACAAGGCGCGATGGAGGTAAATATTATTCCAATAAAATAATAATAATAATAAACCTAAAAATGTATTTATATTATATATTTAATATTTTAATTTTTATATTTATATTATATATTTAATATTTATTATATATTATATATTTTATATTTATTATATATTTAATATTTTAATTTTTATATTTATATTATATATTTAATATTTATTATATATTATATATTTTATATTTATTATATATTTAATATTTTAATTTTTAATATTTAATATTATATTATAATTAATTATAATTAATTATTATTAATTATTATATATTTATATATTTCATATTTATATATTTTATATTATATATTTAGATATTTAATTGAATTACAAAGTTAATGAATATCCCTTCAGATACCAATACCAGATGCGAATACGTTGGTACAAAACATAACGGAACATGTAAATGGAAGTTACACAGGTCTAGTGTCTTCTACGCTTTCTAGCAATCTTTATTCGAATTATAGCGCCGATTATTCAAGCGGAGGCACCATGACGAATTTTGCGAGTGTGTTTGGTGTACTCTTCAGCGGTGTAACTGGAATAATGGCTGGAGCAAATATGAGCGGTAAATAAAATTATTCGTTAATGTGTGATATAATTAACTTATCCATTTAACGATTCGTTTAACAGGCGAGCTGAGAAATCCTGGGCAAAATATTCCGCGTGGAACGTTATCCGCGGTATTATTTACATTTCTGTGCTATATTTTACTCTCGGTATTGACGGCTGCTACTACCAGCCGCTTTTTACTGCAAAATAACTTCATATATATGATGCCAATCAATCTCTGGCCACCATTTGTCGCTGTCGGCATTCTTACAGCAACTTTTAGCGCTGGTTTAAGCAATTTGATAGGTTCCAGTAGAGTATTGGAAGCATTAGCTAAGGATAATGTATTTGGTAAGTAATTAACGACAAAATAAAAGATGGAAATCTTCTTAAATATCTTAAATAATTTTTGTTTCATCTCTCGTGTTTCTAGGATCGGGATTAAATTTTATAATACAAGGTACATGGCGTGGCAATCCGATAGCAGCGGTCTTAACTTCGTGGGCTTTGGTTCAGACGATTTTACTCATTGGTTCATTGAATACTATCGCTCAAATTAATTCGGTACTATTTCTGTTAAGTTATCTCGCTACCAATCTTGCGTGTCTTGGACTGGAACTCGCTAGTGCACCAAACTTTAGGTACATATAATTATATTTTTAAATATATAATTTTGTATAATTTTATCTCAAGAATCTAATTTTTTTTTGCAGACCAACGTTTAATTACTTTACATGGCATACGGCGACTATAGGTCTCCTCGGAACGCTGATAATGATGTTTGTAATCAACAGCATCTATGCTTCCAGCAGCATAATATTGTGCTTAATCCTGATCATTGTGCTGCATTTATTCTCGCCGAGTAAAAACGCTCCATGGGGCAGCATATCTCAGGCGTTGATATTCCATCAAGTCCGAAAATATTTGTTAATGTTGGACTCGCGCAAGGATCACGTCAAATTTTGGCGTCCACAGATGCTACTGATGGTCGCGTCCCCGCGTTCTGCCTGTCCTCTCATCGATTTCGTGAATGATTTGAAGAAAGGCGGACTTTACGTTATCGGCCACGTGAAGGTCGGCGAATTTACCGGCCAAAATAACGATCCCACGATAGACGAATATCCGCAATGGCTAAGTTTAGTTGACCATATGAGAGTTAAGGCCTTTGTTGAGTTGACAGTAACGAAAACTGTGCGCGAAGGCATGCAACATTTAATAAGACTGTCCGGAATGGGAGCGATGAAACCAAACACGATCGTTCTCGGCTTTTACGACGAGGAAACACCAAGGAATTTTTTCCTTGATTCTCAATACGCGACGATGATGTTTGAAAATACCACGACACTTCCGAATAACGCTGTATTTCCCCTGAGACAAGCAACGGGTGAAAAGAATCTGGATTCTATTCAATATGTCGGTATGTGCTCGGATATTCTGAGAATGAAGAAAAATCTGTGTTTATGTAGAAACTTTCATCTGTTGAATAAAGCACAGTTAACAAAGTGAGTAAAAACTTTTCACAAAAAAAAACATTGCTTCTGCATTATTATATAATCACATGTATATGTCTGTTTTTTTAGAAATTCAAATCTAAAGTACATTGATGTATGGCCGGTCAATTTCTTTCAACCGACCGATCAAGATCCATTCGACACAACGTCCTTGTTCATGCTTCAGCTCGCGTGTATCATCAACATGGTTCCCAGTTGGAAGAACTTACATATCAGAGTGTTCCATTGTGAAATCGCGGACGGTACCGAAAGCCTAAGTATCTCAGATTCTCACAATTCGATAAGTGAATTCCCGAGAATCTCAAACGAGCATAGAATACGAAAGTCGTTAAATTTGCTGCGAATTTCTGCGTCGATTAAGAGAATCCCGGAATGGGGAGAGCAAGTTCGAGGATTAAAGGGCAGGACTCTGCTTGAACCAAAAAGTCAATATGAACCAAGCACCGATTCCAATAGTGCTTTGAGCAACATGTCTCGAGCTTATATATTGGGGTAAGCATCAACTTATTTTCTGATTACAATTTGTTCTCGCAATAATTTCTCTTACTTCCTTTTTTCATTTCATTTTTTAGCGTTAATCAACTGATAAGACAACATTCTTCTCAAACTGCAACGACATTTATTTATCTGCCTGCACCACCAGCTTCCAGCACCTGGGATGAAGACGACATGTATCGACAGTATTTGCAATTGTTGACGGAATTGACTGTCGATTTACCACCGACAGTTTTGGTGCACGGAGTTAGTGCCGTGACATCGACCACTTTATAACATAAATAAATTCAAATAGATAATAGATTCAAAATCTTCTAGTAGGGAGAAATCTACATGAGAAATATGTAAATTATATGATTTATTAAATTCTAATTTCACAGTCATATCATAGAGGAGATTTTGTACACATACACACATATATTTGTATATGTCTATATATGTATGTATGTGTATTTATTTTGTGTATATCAAATGCACAAAAAGAGATTGAAGATAATTGTATTTTTTCTGATTTTATGTATATTAATTAATTTGTTAATTATTTTATAATATATATAGTAACATAACATTACAAAGCAATAATTATTGGATTTTAGATCAGTAAATATCTCATGTTCGAAAACAAATTTGACATCTTAATACTAAAATTTATTACTGTGATAACAAGTGTATTATATAAGGGTCTTTTCAGAACAAGTATTTTTTAACAATGAATGATTCTAAAACCATGTAAATATATGAGATATCTTAATATATTTCCATATATACATAAGGAGCTATTTCTGTATTTCTCACTGTTTTATATACATATTTCATATTTTATCATAAGTATTATTTAATAATAATTACAAAAACATTTAAATAAAAATTTATTGAAAACAATTCTGATATTTATTTATTAAAGATCCAAAAACTGTGATTAAAACAAATCAATCTAATCGAAGAATTTAATTATCTTCTCATCTCCCGCCTATAAGTAACCTTGAATATACTAGGCGCAGTAGGCGTGACAGGTGACAGCTGATTATAGCTTCTCTCTGACAAGAGAGAAATTGATGTTTAAATTTATTTTTCTTCAATAAGATATATAATTTTTCAAAGTTTAAATTTTCGCAAAATATTAACGATTGCTAGAGTGATTTGAGATTATCTTATCAATGCGCTTAACGTTATCAAACGTCAAGAGCGTGATTCATTAATATGGTTATGTATGGAGGCAAATTGGCTTTATTGACTTCACGATTAGTCAAAAGTAGATTGATGAGCATTCGAGAAATGAGTACAGCGGTTAACGCCGATTGCGTAAAATCTCTATTGTATAAGGAGTATGGCGATCCCATCGAGGTTCTTCAAGTAACCACTCAAACGGTAGAACAACCAGCAAATGATCAAGTAAATGTCATTATTATACTAATTATACCCTGTCAGTTTTTTTTGCTAATATTTTCTAATTGTTACATAATTTAATTGTCTTTTTTACGATGTAGGTATCTGTAAAATGGCTATTGGCCCCAGTGAACCCAGCTGACATAAATACGATACAAGGAAAATATCCTAGCAGACCTCCATTACCAGCAATACCAGGAAATGAAGGGGTCGGAGAGATAGTAGCGATTGGTTCCAGTGTGCAAACTTTGCGCATTGGAGATAAGGTGGTGCCAAATGGCCCCAATTTTGGAACATGGAGAACATTGGCTAATTATAATTTTAAAGATGTCATGAAAGTACGTATTATTCTCACAACACCTTGTAGCATATTATATTTGCCGCTTGTATTATTCCTCAGCCTCTGATTTTGACAGATGCCGAGTGATGTTGATCTAGTTGCAGCTAGTATGATGAATGTGAATCCGTGTACAGCGTACAGAATGCTGAAAGATTTTGTTCCACTGAAGCCTGGAGATACTGTGATACAAAATGGTGGTAACTCTGCAGTTGGTCAATTGGTCATTCAATTATGTAAAATATGGAATTACAAGTCTGTCAGTGTTGTTAGGGATAGACCAAATATACAGGAATTGAAGGTACTTATTATTGTAATCGTAATAATTTTCTTATAGTATTATAACTGTACACATAATGTAACAAACTCTATTCAGAATCAACTGACAAGCTTAGGGGCGGACGAAGTTTTGACCGAAGCTGAAGTTCGAGGTACACAAATATTCAAAAGCAAAAAATTGCCCACACCTAGATTAGCTCTCAACTGCATCGGTGGGCAGAGTGCGCACGAAGTATTGAGACATCTTGCTCAAGATGGTATTATGGTGACTTATGGAGGCATGTCTAGGGAGCCATTGACCATACCAATAGCTTCGCTTATTTTTAAAGTAATCATAAACTATCTAGCAAATTGTACAAACATTGCAAAAGATTAAAAATATAATTTATATCATATATATTTGCAGAATATATCGTTTAAAGGATTTTGGATGACAGCTTGGACGCAAGCAAATACAGAATCTCAGGAAAGAGAAGATATGTTTAAAGATCTAGCGACTCTCTTTAGAGATAAAAAGTTGCAGCCACCACCACATAAATTGGTACCCTTCTGCGAGTATCAAGAAGCTATCAGTAAAGCGCTCAGTTTCGATGGTAAAACGGGTGTAAAATACATCTTAGATTTGACGAAATCTTAAAATTGTTTTAGTATTGCAGTATTGTACATACAAAGTCTGTTTTTGTATCAGAACTTTCACCAATGCATTTAAAATCATTGCAATATTTTGTAATATATGCGTAATGTTTTATATGATTCACATAAACTGATGCACTTTTTGTAAAATAGGGGAATCTTTATATAGAGGTGTATTTATCTTTAGCAAAAATAGTGGGAATATATAAATATGTGGGAAAAATATAGAACATATAATTGCAACTGCAGATTTCGTCAGTTAAAATTCGAATTATTCGATCTCGTCAAGAAGATCCAGCAAATCCATGCTGCGTTTTAAAGTTTCATGCTCGTCCTCGAAAAAATCCGCGTATACATTGTCGAGTTTAGCTTTATAATCCTCGTTCAATTTCGGCTTTTCATTTTCTACATTATTTCGTTTAGTATTGTTTGCTTCAGCATCGATTTCCTTATTTGCGTTATTTATATTCTCCTCGTCTACGTTTGAAAGTAGATTAAGCGTGAATGGTCTCTCATAATTGGTCTCCTCAGTCCCGAGCTGGACAGCCAGCATACCTAGTTCTGCTTTCGCCCCGCAATCTTTCAAGAACTGTTGACTATCTCGCCTTCCCATTACACCGTATGTCGGCAAGTATCTAGTACATAATGAAATAATAATTATTAGTAGCACAATATTATAGAATCGAATATTGGATACTCTTTGTCTTACATGTTCTTGCCTAATAATGTTTTTCTATCACCAAAAGTGTCAAAGGATCCGCCACCGTACGTTTCAGGGCTCACGTCTTTCAACTTCATGGCTCCTAGAGTATCTCTGTGCTCCATGTATCTCTCATTGTACCCATGAGGCGTGAGGTTGAAGCTGGCGTCCTCATTCTGTAGACCACGACGCAGGAGAATTGAGACTCGCACGTGATATGATTCCAGTTCCTTCAGACAGTTCTCCCGCGCATTCCAGATCTCTTCAAAAGTCAGGCATCCGTAGAACTGCCCGTTGGAAAGGAGTTGGATTAGTTCATCGTTGGTTCTTCGTACATCCCGTTAAAGATACGAGATATTATACTCACGTCAACGACCATCTCCTGTACTAGGGTGACGCATTTTTGCGCATTCACATCGCTGACCATGTCGCGTATCGCATCGATGTGATTCAAAATAATGAGAATGACTTCCCTAGGTCCAGTAGCTGCCTTTAATTGATACTTGACCATCATAATCATCAGGTCGAATAGTTTGTCCATACTAGTCCTGTCTAGCTTCATAATGGACGAGAGAACGACACTTTCCAAGGTGGTGCGTAAATGTGACACACCGATCATCGGCGACTCTATGAATATCGATGACAATATCTTGGGATTGAGCAAAGCGGCGGTTACCTCGTCCAATACTGTAATTAATTTATAATTAAATTAGCGCATTTTAGCGAAACATAAATATCTATAAAATCTTCCTAAATTAATATTATACATTAAGATAATAGAGCATACAAAAAAATTAATAAATATTCATCAATATACTTAAAATTAATTATTTCAAAGAATAGTAATAATAAAATAAAATATTTTACTCTTATCTTGAAATATTTAAAGACATTTAAGAAAATAATATATATATATATATATATATATATATATATAAATGATATAAATATATATATATATAAATGATATAAATATATATATATATATATATATATATATATATGAGATACAATTACATAAAAGATTTGTTATAAGATTAGAAAAATTCATTATACAAATTATATAAAAGTACATAGTGCAAAACATATATTTATATCTTCAAAATATTTTAAGCGTGCGCGGCCTCGCCTTGTATTGTTTTGTCGGCGTCGATTTTTTGCGCCTTCAGCCTTTGTCGCAAAACATACAGCATTTCACCGCCCATGTTTAAATACAAAATAGGTGTCGAATGTAGAGACATTTTTTTCACGTAGGAGCGCGATTATTGTTAGGATGATACATCGGACAAGTACACAAGTGGTAAAGAGCAAGGAAATTGATGCGTCGTCTTGACAACATAAACGTACATAATACTTTCCATTGTTGCGATCGGTACCGAGACTGCGCGAAAAAATTCGCGTGCGAATCCACAAGATTAACATTAATAATCTATTCGAATTTTTGTCAAGAAGATTTTGGAATTTTCATATAGAATACATAAAATTTCACAGGTAAATCTTGCGAACGTCTTTTTATACAACAGCTGTTTCTGTAAGTATGTATATGTCAGGCTTTATGTATATTTTTTTATCTGTGATATGTTCTTTCGTTTCGAAATTTCGATAAAAGATTATTAAAGATAATCTTATGATTTTCTTTTTTTGCAAAAAAATAAAAAATCATTATTCAATTATCAATTATTCTTTAAAAGAGTTTTTGTTTCATTATTCTTTGTCTTTTTTGTTAATTAATTATATTTTTATTCTTATTATTTAAATAAAAAAACTTTCTATGTCATATAAGTATTCAATAACTAAAATTTATTCTTTAATGAAAAGTTCACAATAATTATAAATAACATTAAACATGCTATTGAGACAAAACCTTAAGAAATAAATTTCTTCTTTAAAAATTAAATCAATAAATATTAGCAAGATTACAATTAATCATGATGCAGTCATAAAAAGTATAATGTAATAATAATAATATATTATATAATAATAATATATTATAATAATAATATATAATAAGATTAATTGTTCTCAAATTTTTCCTAGAAAAGATTCTGAATTTATGACAATACATTTATTTATGAGAATTCATAAAGAGTTTTTCACAGATAAATTTTGCGAATATATATTCTCTTATACAACAGCTGTTTGCTGTTTATCTTTTCACATCTGAAGTTGGTCACTTTCGTGATCGAACACATGTGATACGTTAACCTGAAAAATACCTAACTTCAGATAGGAAGAGGTTCGCAATACGCAGCATACGAATGTAACACGTAACAACGTGTGTTTCTTCATAAATATTCGTCTTTATTCGTTGAATATGCTCTCTTTTTGCACTTACTTTTAGTATAATTTTATAAGAATAATGAGTTGAGTGTGTGTTAATATTGTTTACTTTACAAGGACATTTCTGATACGTATATTTTTGTTGATGTCAATTTGTAGTTGCAAAAAATAGATTTTGGAATTGTATAAATCACACGCTATCAAAATAAGGTCTGCTATATTTTTCAACGCAATTTAAGAGATTTTTAGAAATGCTGATGTGTCGTCATATTTAACATTTAATTAATAAATTTGCTCCAAAGTAGAAAAGAACATTTTTCCATATTTATAACATAACTTTTGTAACAAAAAGATATGTTTTTTAGATTAATCTGTGTGTATATTTTAAAATATATCTAGCAAATGTTATTTATAACAAAAAATATACTTATATACTTTATTTTTACTTAATTTATAATATAACCTGTATAAACTGTATTTATGTCACAAGTTTTTGAAATTTTCAGAGTAAAATAAACCATTAAATACCAAAGATGACATCTGAAGTGGTAAAATTTAGAAAGTTGAGGACAGTGATGAAAGATGGAACTTTTTGGGCAAAATTTACAGAATTAAAAATAGACAAATTGAAATTAGACGAAGAGTCTAAGATACATTTATGGGCAAGTTTTGATCTTGATGAGTATGTAGATGATGGACTCACTACTCACTTGACACTTAATTGTACATCATTTAATGAGTGAGTATTATACAAATATAAGAATGAAGGTTTTCCATCCTTTTTATAAAAAATAGATTAATTTACTTATAAATTTATTTTTCAATACAATTTGCATCTGTAGTATAATATTATTAATCATTAACAATAATATAAATTGTATTGTACGACGCATCAATTGTTAAATATCAGAAGAGGCTTCATTTAGATGAGTTTCAGAAATTTGGATACAACTTCTCACAATTCAGGAGTAGCTTGCTATGGATATATGATTAATACAAATACTTATGAAGCATTTAGACAGATAAATCATGAAGAGTTTATTGACACCATGGGCAAATGCATTATTGATAGCATTATAGATGGTACAGCTTTGCAAGAGCCTTGGCGTCTCTCGATATTCTTTATGATTGCATATTCAGATTTGAAAAAGTATCGATATTTTTATTGGGTTGCGCATCCGACTCCTTTCACATTGCCAGAAATTCGTTTGATTAAATTAGAGAACATATATGTTGAATTTACAAAGAGTCAATTAGATAAATTGCGAAAAGATTTCCTTCACTTGGATGCAAAATCAAAGAACTTTTTCGCAATTTTTGTATCTGAGGATGATTTAAATATTGCGGATTTGTCAAAAGGAGTGGAATATATAAAATTAAACACTAATAGCCGTGGAGATCCAAAACAGGTATAGTTTCATGAACTTACTTATTTTTATTTTTTTTCTTACTGTTCATTTCGTTCGTTTATCGAATAAGACACGTACTAATAATTAATTAAATTTGTCTTTAATATTATTCAGGAAGGGATTAAAGTGTATTTTGTATTTTATGATCCTTGGGCAACTAATGAACCTGGATGGCCCTTGCGAAACCTTTTGTGCCTATTATTGTGGCATTGCCCTACATATTGTTTGACACACAATATTAAAGTTGTAGCTATAAAGAATATATTTGAAGAAGGTCTGCGAGATCGTGTATTTACACTTAAAATCAAAGCTAAGGATGTGGAAAGTATAAGGAAAGCTATTTCTGAGGATCATTTAGTAGGTTGGGAAACTAATAGACATGGAAAAATGGGTCCAAATATAGATATTTTAGCCAAGTTCATGAATCCTATCAAGTAAAAATTTTTTGAATTCATTGAATTAACTAGCATTGGCATAGATACTCATGAATATTATATTTATATTTATATGTTACACTAGTTTATCAGATGCAGCGGTCAATTTAAATTTGAAATTGATGAAATGGCGTCTTGTCCCTAAACTAAATTTAGAAAAGATTAATAGTCTAAAATGCCTTCTGTTGGGTGCTGGTACATTAGGATGTTCTGTAGCGAGAGCACTCGTTGGCTGGGGTGTTACTATTATAACATTCGTAGACGGCTCTAATGTCTCTTTTACTAATACAGTACGTCAGAGTCTATATACATATACAGATGCGAAGGAACATCGATTCAAAGCGCTTGCCGCGAGAGATGCTTTGCTCGACATACGTCCTAACATGGCAAGTGTACCTTTATCAAATTTATGTGTTTATATGATAATATTTTGATGAAGAAAAAATTTATACAAAAATAATTTCATAATAATATGTATAATAATCTCTTGTGACTTTATTTTTTAAATCTATTAAAATTTAAATATATAAGACATACTTTTACACATATATATATAATTTATATGTATACTTTATTGAAATTTAATCTTTAATTTTAATCTTCTAGATCGCAGACGGTGTGGTTTTGGATATTCCTATGCCAGGTCACGTGGTCGGCGAAAGCATGATGGAAACAACCAAGGAAGCTGTGAGAAAATTGGAAAAACTCATAGCCGATCACGATGTGGTGTTCTTGTTATTGGACTCGCGTGAAGCCAGATGGCTGCCAACCCTCTTATGTGCCAAAATGAATAAAATAGCCATTAATGCTGCTTTAGGCTTTGATTCGTATACAGTACAACGGCATGGCACGCGTGATCTTGACGATATTGTCGCACCCAATCTAACGATACAAAATCCTGTAGGACGAGATCTTGGATGTTATTTTTGTAATGATGTAACTCAACCCGGAAATGTGAGTGTGTGTGTGTGTGTGTGTGTGTGCTTTATTTCAAACATATTCGGTTTTAAATATTTAACATGAAAATATAAAATTGGTATATGATAATTTAAAATATATAATTTTTTTAATTCTATGATATTTTTCATTTTTATTCTAGTCACAAACGGACAGAACACTTGATCAACAATGTACCGTCACTCGACCGGGTTTGTCGCAAATCGCTGCAGGTTTAGCAGTTGAATTACTCGTGGCCATAACACAACATCCAGAAGGGTAAGTTACATATATAAATATATTATATAAATTTTGTTTTCATATAAAATTTGATTTATATATTTTATAAATTATTATTATAATATTTAATCTATTTTTACATAGATCTTGTATAAAACATTTATATTCATCTACTTTTATGTAATTTCAAGAATTTCAGCTAGGGCGTTTATGAATAACGATAGCAATGATTGTCAAGCGAATAGTTCGTCGATAGGATTATTAGGTGGCATACCTCATACAATACGGGGTTCGCTTTGGAACTATGAAACGAAACTGACAGTCACACACAGATTTCCATCCTGTACAGCTTGTTCTATACCTTTAATTAAAGAGTATGACTATAGTCGTTTTAATTTCGTACTCAACTCTTGCAATGTGCCAAACTATCTTGAAAAATTATCAGGTCTTGAAGAAATATTGAAAAGACCAAATTTGGATGAGGTATGTATTGATTAACCGATTAAATATTAACATTTTAAGAATATAAATATATGCAAAAATATAAATAAAAAATATTTTGAACATTCTTTTGAATCGACTTATAAAATTTTTTATAATCACAGTTTATAATATTTACATTAAAATATTTATATTTGTACTATTTTCAATTAGAATTCTTAAAAATTAATTAAATTAGAATTTCTAAATATTCTAATTTTGCGTTTGATTTTATATTATATATATACATACATATATCATATATGCATATATCTTTTAATTTTAAGTTATGTTACACAATGGACAGTTCAAGTGAAGATGAAGAGGCAAAAACTATAATTTAAATGATATGGAAAGTGGAAAAATTCACATAAGAAACATAATTTAGATACAAACTATTTGCACTGTTTATATATAAAAATGATATATGATATTTATATATATACAAAATATAAAGAAAGATAACATCCAAAGGATTTCATCAAAGTAACACACATTCTATAAAATCAAAAGCTTTAAATACAAAAATTTGTTAATACATAAGAAAGATATACTGTAAGTAAAAAGTCTGCTTCTTTAATTTTGCATTTTACTTATAGTTGATGCATCATGCATATTTATATGTATGTTTACTTCAAGGCTTTATGTGTATTATTAACATATTGATTTCTTTATGCCTTTTTTTAAATATTATAATTTTTATATTGCTGAAAATAATGTTTACAAAACAAAAAACTTTTAATTTCAGTTTTTTTAAATTTAGTTTTATAATGAATTTTTTTAAATATAAGAGCTGGTTCAATAGAAAATATATATAAATTATGTAATAACATATATATGTAACAACAATTCTCAGATTATTGCTAAAATGTTAAGGAATAACTATCGTTATAACTATCATATTTAATCAATGTTGTTCATTTTATCGTTTCATAAAATATTTGTTATACATTGATTTTTTATGTCATATTTTTATTAAGATGTACCTGTAAGAATTTGCATTTGTAAAAATGGCATATATATAGCAAAATTCGAAAATATTTTCAAATAAATCACATCAGTGTTTCTCACATCTTAAATATTATATCACTAAAAATAAATTATTAAATATTATTATTAAGTATTATGTCACTAAAAATAAATTATTCATGTAAACATTATAAGCTTAACTAATTATTTTCCTCTTTTCTATACGATTAATCAGGAAATATTTCAAGGAATTCTGTTTCAAACAATATTTTTTATAACATGAAAAATTAATCATTGTTAAAGGTTCTTCCTTTTTCTCCTTTTTTTATTATGCGAACCGTAATTTTATAACTATTATAATTTTTTTTATATGAATACATTCCTGCTTTTCCCGGAAAATTTTTTGAATTTTTCTATTATCGCATGTTACATATTATATATTATCTTTCCATTATAAGGAACGTAATATATATAAATATATGAATGTTCTTTATCGGGTTTGCCTAAAATATATATTTATTCTTCTCTGCCAATTCTATTTCTTTTCTGTTTCGTCGACTACGGTTATTTTGTTGCAACAGCTGTAAAGAAAACTATAAGAATTTCGACAAACAGATATATGTCAACAGTTATATCGATAGGAAAATGTACGATTCGATTATTTACATTCGAAATATTTTTCCTCTTTTTTCTATTTTTATTGATTGAATATTATATATTAAAATTGTTAAATATATGTAACTATTTAAAATTTTAATAAAAAAATGTTCTTTGTAATAATTATTTTATTAGAAACACAATTTTACAATATAATATATATTATACAAATATATATCTTTTGAGATAAGAAGCGATAGAAGTCCAGAAATTGATCGAACTTTATGCGCTGATGAAGAATTTACTTATCTATTAAGGTGTTCACAAAAATTCCGATTTCCTATCGGAGTCTATACCTCAATATATATGAATAATCTGTTATCATATCTTTTTCTAGATAAAAACAGAATCTTTGAAAGAATTTCACGTAAAATTCGATTTATTCATTATGTATCTTTGCACTTCTAATTATAAAAATAAAGATTATAAAGAGAAGAGAATTTTTTCATGAGCATATCTCGACATACACTTTAGTGTTACGATTCCAAAAGTATATACGTGATATAATTTATATGCATGAATAATCTCTGTTATATCTCTGTGTATATTATTGACTTATACCCCTATAAGTAGAATGACCGCATTTTTCGTATGCGACTAAGCAACGAGGAGAAAAGTAGGACATTGCCATTTTTGGCAAAAAGAGCAAAATCAGAGACCAAGTCTTAATTGTATTTAATTATAATTATATTGTTCTTAATTATAATTATGTATTTTTTTTCTTTAGATCAAAATATTGACATCTTTTATACGCACTTGGATATGTTCACTTAATGTATACGATACATTCCGCGTGCGCGTTTTTTCACGTATGTAAATATTGCCAAAAATAAACTAGGACAATGTAAACGTTAAGCGATACGACTCAAAGTTTCCGAGGTTCTAACAAGCCAAGTCAAACAGAATAAAGTATATATCTACGCCTCTTTAATCATCATATATTATATAAATGCGAAACTAGGACAAACATTCTAGAGAAGAGAAGGAATTTAGGACGTATAAGAGAACACTTTGAGAAGGAGGACGCGTCCTCGGAAAGCAGGACGTCCGGTCCACAGTCATCCTAATTATGTATATATTATGTAAATTATATTATGTGATATATATATATATATATATATATATATATATATATATATATATAGAGTGTTTCTTAAGTGCGAAACATTTTAGGAAATAATTCTTTGTCGCAAATTAAGGGGGGTTTTTCATATAAACGTGTACTCCATTTTTTATGTTTTTATTATAAATTTGTTTTTGTTCCAATTTTTCCAACATTTGTTCTAATTTTATTTTTATTTTAAAATTTAACTTCTCGTAATTCGAAACCTATGCTATTTAGCATCGTGCTGTGGACGATAAGATATTTTTTTTTCTTGGAAATTACTGATTTTATGAAAAAAATAAAAGAAATAAAAAAATTTCGAAATAAATCAAACTTTTTAAAGCATATTTTTAGATGATCATATTTCGGCCCGTTAAAAAGTTCTAATAAAAAATTGAATAGGGATTGCTGGTTTCATATTTTTATAACAATACGAGAAACTGAAAAGATATTAATAAATAACCTTTTTTACTAGTAGAAAATATCCATCTAATTTCATTTTTTTAACTTGTTCTAAATTTGAGAAAAAAATAAAAACCTAATTTTTATCCCCATTTTAGAGGAGTGTAACTCCACAGGGAGGGATGTAGGAGTATATGTTTATATAAAAAATCCCCCTTCATTTTCGACAAAGAATCATCTCCTAAAATTTTTCGCACTTATTAAGAAACACCATATATATATACAGAGTGTTTCTAAAACGATGTCGATTTTAAGGGTATATTCTAGGGGTTAAAATAAGAAAAAGTTCATATAAACATGGGTCCAAAAATGCTTTTCGTCCGAGTTATAGCCCTCTAAAGTTGAGAGAAAAAATGGTCAAAACCACATAAAAATGAAGCTCATTATTAATTATTACGCTGTGCAAAACTTTAACGTTCTATGAAAAAGTCTCCGAGAGTCAATACATTTTTCGATTTTTTCCCTCAACTTTAGGGGGCTAGAACTCGAAGGAAAAACATTTTTGGACTCATGTTTATATGAGCTTTTTTTCTTATTTTAATTCTTAGAATACGCCCTTAAAATCTCCGACATAGTTTTAGAAACACCCTGTGTATATATATATATATATATATATATGTATATATATATATATATACATATATATATGTACACACACATATTATATTCGTCGCAAGTATCGATATTGCGCGGTGCGCGCATAATCGCCGAGTGATCTTCGCTGCTGGCGACGAGAGAGAGAGAGACTCCCGTTGGCGTATTTACAATACCGCGACGCGCGGCGGGCGTCAGTTGGCGGTTTTGCCGGCGGGACGCGACGATCGCGCCGCATACCGCGCATTCCAGCGTAATGCTCGAGCGCGACGAGAGGGCCGGAGGAAGGAGCGGGGAGGTGGGGAGGCGGGTGGGAGGGTGGACAGCCGAGGCCCGCCTGTCGGTGTCAAACGGGCCGCGCGCGTCCACCCGCCCGCATGCCATTAGATTTTCGTCGTTTTCGATGAAAACGCGTCCCCGTTGACGGTACGGAGCACCGGCGACGATAATTCCGAGGCATCGACGTCGAGTTTAACCGAGTGTCAACGCGCGGCGTAGGAGTGTCACGACGTAAATCGCGCGAGCCTCTGCGACCAGTGCGTCTCCACGGGTGAGTAAAGCGTAACACACGCATACCATACACTTACGCACGCATACGTATGTCATGTATACGCACGTCAAATAAAGCGATGCGGCGAGACACGACGTGCCGGCGCGAATCTTTCGAAGAATGTGCGCGTTTCTCTCTCTCTCTCCTTCTCTCTTTCTCTCTCTCTCTCTCTTTTTCTCTCGCTTCTTTTCCCCCCTTTTTTTATTCTTTTACGCTACGCCGGATTCCTCTATTGATTCCTCGCGAACGTCGAGAGACGCGCCGCGCGGCGGCGCCGACGACGGGTCGTCGTCATCGTCCTTGCCGAGTTCGCGCGGTAGAATCTACTCGGGGTGTTCGAATAATACAGTCGCTCGGCGATCAATCCGCCGAGCGAGAATTCGAAAAGCCGGCGCGCGATCGCGAGAAGTTGGCCGTTTTCGAAACCACCTTCGAGACGCTCGCCGTCGTGTTTGTCAAGGAACTTCACGCAGCAGGTATATTTGCGTATATTTGTCGCGTGACGCGATTTCGCGCACGCACATTTCGTCCCTCCAAAAAAAAAAAGAAAAAAGAAAAGTCACTGTGTCGTAAGGAAATAAATCTCCGAGCGCGCGAGTTGACATTTCGCTCGCCTTCGGAGTTTTTGCGGCGAATTCGCGTCGCGCGTGATTGACGCTCGAGGGTCGAGATTTGACGTCGACGTCGGGAATAATCGTCGTCGGAGGAGGAAATCGTATCGCGTAGCGCGAGGCGATACGTATAAAGGGGAACGCGTGACACGAGGCGTAAGATATTCGGAATTTTTTCACGGCGATGTTATTCGCGCGGGACGAGTATCGGCGTTTGAAAAAAATGCCTCACGACGTTTGTATTTTCGGGGAGAAGCGCATTCCGCAACGTTTGGAATTCGCGAGCTCGTCTTATCTGCACGTTCGACGAATTCGGAGCGGAGTTTGAAACTCGTCGAGCCGGTATCGTTTCAACGCGAGCTCGGATTTCTTGCGCGAAAATCATTTTCACGTCCGCTCGCGCGATTAAATTTTAACTACGATTCATCGTATCTCTATATTTTCCTAGACTTTTTTACCGCTCTCGTTCTCTCTTTTTTAGCTCAAGAGAAGTGTCAATTTAAATGCATAAAGTGTAGAAAGTACACGCGACGCGGAGAAATTTATAAAGGATTAAACTTGCACATTTTTTTTTTCTAGTTGACGTAAATGTTTTTTAGTTATTAATCTGTTGGGTATTTTTTTCAGAAAATATTGATCATATATACAGTGTCAGATTTAAATGTATTTAAAATATAAAATATTTTTTTTTATTTTTAATAACCGCAGAAATAAAATACGCTCTTTTTGCGAAACCGGATATTTGTAATTTTATACATTCTTTTTTTTATCGTATATTTTTATATTTTATAAAAATACGACATTCGAGTATGCTCGAGCAAATCGAAGGAAAGTGATATTTGACGTTTCGTATGCGGCGTGTAAAAGTTCGGCGGAATATGCCCGCGTTTGGAATTCCATTGAGTGCGTCGAACTTTTCTCAAACGATCATACTGATCTTTGTTTGAGGGATAAGCGACTGTCGTTAGATTGAAAAGCCAATTTTACACGAATAACCAAAGGATTTCTTCAGGAATTTAAATAGGAGGACCCCGACTGGATGTTTCTTTGTGTTTGAACAAATTTCCTTTGCAGCTGCTCACAGTCTTCCTTTGTATTCCGAGAATTTTCTTTTGCAGGTGTGCGATATATAAGAATGTAGATTTTTCAAGTTTTATCGCGATCTCTCTGTCGCAACAAAATTACGATTCTTGACGCATGAGTTTGTTTATCGCTTAATCCTGTTTATTTTGGATAACATCCCGATTTGTTAATCTTTAAAATTTATAAATAGAAATTTGTGCAATCGAGAGAAAAATCTTTCGTTATTTTCTTACTAAATATTTTTGCAGAAAATTACTTGTCACAAAAATATTACATTTTTATTTTATTCAATTTTTATATATATATATTTTTTAGATATGTATATAATTTGAATGAAATGAACATATATTTGTGTATAATATAAATTGTATAATTACACTTTGTTGTGTTTAAGATAAATGCTTAACAATAAAAATCAAAATTAGAATGAAAATTATATTTAAAATGACGTAAACAAATGAAGAGAATAATTAAGAGGTAGATCCAAACGGAATATAAAATATTGAAATTTTTAATGATTCTCACTCGAATCAAATTTTTTTTCGCGGATTCGTCAACGAGAATGTTCGACGAGGAATCTCGATCGGCGGTTTCGAGTTCTGGCGTTCTCGAGCTCCGCAGTCGCGTGTATAATCGCCCGCATACCACGTGCTATTCAGTGCGTATATATATGCACGTATATATACACGGTGTGCGTGAAGTTACAGATTATGAATCAGTGAATTGATTTTTTTCAGCGAGAACTTTGTGAGGTTTTATTATCGCTAGAATTTATGATGTTTAATATTCATGAATTCAATTACGTCATCATTAATATCGAATCAAAAAGCACACTCAAAAAAAAAGAAAAAAAGTCTTTCAATCGTTAAAAATGAAATAAATTATACACGTCTGCTTTTAGCTATTAGCGATGTTAAACATCTTTTTAATCTTGCATTATTGCATATTGCTTTATATAATTCTAAATTTCGTATTAATATAATTTTTATGAGCTTATTAAATAAGCTCATATTTAATTAAATAGAAAGAAATGTTTGCCACTTATAAAATACGAAACTTGAAAGCTATAACGTTTCGAGATTGATGGCATTCCTTCTGGTATTTTGTAGAGATACTAATTCTTGATCACCCTATGTATATATTCGATCGAATCTTCGGCCGAGATAACACGTCGCGTGGGAATTCGCCGATCGAGTGGTTAGAGTGGCGTGCATGATGCTAGTCGAAGGTGCGAAGATTCACCGTTCTCTCTGTAGCTCACACACCGTTAATTTAACGCTCTGCCTAATCAAATTAAATTAAATATACGGTTTAAATTTTTACGGTCATAACTTTGATCGGCGCGAGAGAGAAAAAGAATAGAAAACTCGAGTTTTTCTCTTATTTTCTACAGATTCTAAAAACACGCTTTCAATGATTTAAATTCTTCTAATTTTATATCTCCAGATTTATATACTTTCTTCATGTATAAATATAATTTTCACTATTTTTAAATATTTCTGAATTAAACATGCTTTTCATTTCTTTTCTATGATTTTTATTTAGCTTGTAATTTTATAAGTTGCTGGAGATCAGAGATAATATAAGTATCAAAGTAAATTATCTTCGTTATTTTTATGACGCAAAGAAAATATAATTAAACTAAAAATTTCAAAAATATCCCAGAGAAATACGGAATAATATATAAAAAATAAAATTTTTTCCTGAATAAATGAGTTCGGAAAAATTGAGGATAAATTAAAATGTTTAAAACTGCACGTATCAAAATTGTAAATTTCACATATTTAGAATTTTAAAAGTTTTATTGCGTCTGAATTTCAACCTCTCTTACATCAATTCGTGTTTATAAAGGCGCATCATTTCGTGTAAATAACGTTACTACACATGCGATTTTCGCATGCATGCAATACACTTTATTTAGGCCGTCCTTTCATTTAAATAGCACGGCAGCTGAGACGACGCGTGATTCATAAAACGTTTACACTATGCGTTACTCGCGTAAAAAAAAAAGAAATGTGAGGAAGGGGCATGGCCGAGGAACGGCACGCCTTTATAAACCAGATTCGTCCTCAAGCTTATCTCGTTGTTTTATCACGCGAGGAACTCGATAAACATGCGACAACGCACGGAATTGGGTGGTATCTCGTAGAATTCCTTTGAATAAAATAAAAAGATTGATAATAATAATTTACATAATTTAAATTTATAAAAATTGATAATGATTGATAATTAATATAAATTAATAAAATAGTTAACAAGTAAAGTAACAATTAATAATTCTCGAGTTGGGGATTTATAATCTTTGCAATCAAGCACTAATCTCTTATAACTCTGGATTTTTTTTATGAATTTTCTTTTCTTTATTTATTACAATCTTTTTATTTTATTAGGAGGGAATATAATCGTTTTATTTCCATCGATTTACACAAAATTTGCAGTTCTCCGGATTATTGCAGTATCTCATAGGATTCCTTTGAATAAATTAAAAAGATTGATAGTAATAATTTACAGAATTTAAATTTATAAAAATTGATAATAATTGATAATTAATATAAATTAATAAAATAGTTAACAAGTAAAGTAACAATTAATAATTCTCGAGTTGGGAATTTATAATTTTTGCAATTAAGCATTAATCTCTTATAATTCTCTTATAATTTACTTATCACAATCTTTTTATTTTTTTAAATTAAACATTTTAACTCTTATTGTTAGTGAGAATTAAAAATATATTTCAGCGAATTAAAGAAAGGAGAAGGGAATATAATCGTTTTATATCGATTTGCAAAATTTGCATTCTCCAGATTAAGAAGAAAAAGCTAAAATACCAGAAAGAAAGTAGTACGAAAGAAGAAAGGCGTAAAAGGGAGGAGGATAAAAGGTTGTTTATATTGTTATGATGAAATCGTGATGTCGACCGTACGGTAGTATTGCGAGAAGTGGGAAAAGCATGCGAGGAGAACGAGAAGGAATGAGAGAGATCGTGATACAAGTAGCGAGGGGCTCGAACTAGCAATCAACAATTCTTTTTTTCTCACAAATCCGAAAATATCATTTCTCTGTTTAAAATGAGATTGAATATCGCGGAAGCGACCATGTATTAGGCTTCCTTTTTATTTTACGTTTTACTCAGAGGATCTCAAGAAAATAGATAAATTATTTCTTAAAATATGTAATGTAATCAAGTTTATTATACTACTTATTTATTATACTAATTATAATAATGCAAATGCATTCTTTTCGAGTTTTTTTCAAAATTATATATTAATGAAAAACTATGAAACACTTATGTTTATTCGCATACTTTAGCAAAAATAGACAACAGTAATAATGATATTTTGTTTTTTTAAATATTTTTAATATTAAAAAATTTATATATATTAATATTTATATTACTATTCCTATATACTATCTGTTTCTTTGTATTTTCTTTGTATTACAAAAAAAATGTCAGATAATGTTTGTCAAATTATTGAGACATTTTTGGAAATTTTTCATTAATGTAAAACTCAGTGTTTGTAATTTAAAAAGAATGTAAGCGATGTAGGAAATATATATCAGTCCAGTTTGACGAAAATCTCGGACGACAAATGGAAAATAAACTTGAGAATTATCATAATTGTCAATAGAAAACTTGTAAACATTCTTCAAATATTTTAAGTATATTAACACAATTAAGAACATAACAATCAAGAAAGAATGCATTTAATTAATAACAATATCAAGAGACTCTTAATACGGAAAAAAGGAGCATAATAATATAAATTGCGTTATTTAATCATCGCTAAAGAAAAATCGATTCTTAAGTGGTCAAGGAATGTGTCAGTGGAAATATCATTATAACACCTTGCATTTAATCGAAGCGATTATCTATCGGTATTTGATTGATCATACTTCGCGCGAACGTGTCGATCCTGCCGCTAAAGTACGTGGCACGCGAGAGAGAGAGAGAGAGAGAGAAGGAGCATTGCGGGGGTGGGGAGTCCCGCGAGAGGGGGAGAGGTGTTGGCGGTGAGGAGTCCGCATTCCACAGACAATGTCACGTTTTTTAATCCCCGTTTTACTTTATTTGCGCCGCCTTCGCGGTCACGAGGAAGGCCCCAAACAGTTACAGTTCGACTTCTGTCCTTAGAGAGAGCGCCTTCTTTCGCGACGTGGAAACGGACGAGGATAAAGGACGACGTATCCTTGCCGCGAAGACAACGAAAGGAGGTAGCTCTACGTAGTGAGAATTCGCGAATCATCAGGGTGCGCGCGAATTTCGGGCGAGGGTGGCACCCGAGAGGAGGAGAAGGAGAAGAAGGAGGAGAGGAGAAAAGGAGGAAGAAGTTGGGACACGCGAAAGGAGCGAGGGAGGGAAGATATGTCCGCTGTCGAGAGTGCCTTGGACGTCCTCTCCAGAGCGGCGACGATGGTGCAAGGTCAGTTTATACCTTTTGGAATATTTTGCGATTCGCGCGAACCTTAAGGCTAGAATTCCTGATAACGTGTCTTCTTGTTGAAGCATCCTCGGCCGAGGTGAAATCGCTCTCACTTTATTCTAATTCAATACGTGATTATAAAAAAAAGTCGAGGATATTTTATTCCGTTTATTGTATCAATTATTTTTATTTTATATCATTATAATTGCCATTAAAATTATATGGGGGGAAAAATATATATTAAAATGTTTAAGAAGTTTAATAAAAAAATTAAATATTAAAAGACAACTTTGTCTTTTTTTTTTAAATTGCAATATCTGTTTATTATTGTTTTAAACACATATTAAGCAATATAAATATGCCTAGAGTTCGCCGAATTGCGAGATATAATTTAATTTTCATAGAGAGATATTAAACTGACTCTTAGGATATTAAAATTTTGAGAGATCTTGTGTGTTTTTTATTATATAATGATTTAATATTATATAATATCTTTAATAAACATATTAAAATATATATTAATATATTTTATTAAATAATTATTAATTTTTAATAAATTTATTAATCTTCAATAAATAAATAGTAATTTCTTCAAAAATGAAATAATCTGCTATAAAATAAAATGCACTATCAAATATTAAAGTATAGGAATTTTTTCGAGGATTTAAAAATAAAAAATCAAAACGTTTATAGAATTTATAACAAAAAGTCTATTGCTCTCGATTCTATCTTGTTCATATTCTCAAAAATTCCTGCAATCTTTCCTATTCTCTTCCAGGAAATTTTAAATTATATATATATATATATATATATATATATATATATATAAATAATACACTCTCTGATAAATAATATACAAATAATGGGTATGGTGGTTCAGAGATATAGGGTGATGTAACGCGATCAAATTCGCGCGAAATGCACAGACTTTAGAAACAGCGACGACTACTTGACATGCCGTCGACATTCCTCGCATAATTCGTTTAATAGTCATTCTATATTTCGCGCGCGTGCACGATGGCGTTAACCAGGCTCGTTCGTATGCAAGCTGCGGCGAATCGCCTATTATTATCGCAGGTGCCTAGTCATAATGCAATATGCCATTACCTGACATAAATTCGCGATTGTAACATACGGTTACTATCTCGGTTACAATCCAATCCGCAATCGTATTTATAAGGAATCGATCGTACGATCGCGGGTGAGCAATCGCATTCTTCGCTTTGTATTCAGTCAGTTCCCTTACGAAATCATCTTTGCAGAATGATCCGAATGCTTTTGTACGATTGCTGAAATAAGGAGCAGGGCAACGAACGTATACTAGTACATTTTATTTACACAGTTACTTAATAAAATGTTTCAAATATTATATGTATCTGTAATTTTTGATATATTTTGAAAAATAAATGTGTGAAATATGGCCTCGAACCCTTCCTGCCAAATTTTGAGATTTTATAGAAAATTTTTAATTTTGAACAAAAACTTTCCTATAAATCTAAGAAACGAAATAAAATATTTCCATCTCAAAATATGATTTAATCCTCTATAATTTTCAATACTTTTTGTGAAAAAAGATATTTTCTTAGATTTTGTAAAAAGTATATATTGGAAAAACGTGATTTTAGAGATTTTGGACGGCTTATTGAAGAAGCATTTTTCGACCCATGTTTATAGAAAATTTTTTGTTCAAAATTAAGTTTCTTACGAGATTTCAAAATCTGGTAGGAATGTTCGTGGTCATCCTGTATATTTTGCTAGAAATTTATAAAACTACAGATTATTACGTTTCTTTAATATTTAATACAATAGTTATTTAAAATTTTTAATACAATAATCGTATTAAAAAATTGTATTAAAAATTTTTTAATATAATAATTATTTATAACTGTCATTATTTTTTAATAAAATTTATCTAGTCTGGAAAAGAAAGGCCTATGATATTTTACAAATATATAATATTTTCTATTTTTAAATATATAACACATTCTATTTTTTCTTTTTCATTCAGATCCGGTCTAGATTCTAATTTCAAAGTATTAACGAAAGATCGATTTAATTAATAAGAGGTTATTGGTCTGGCGTTCGTCATCCGCTCAGACGATCATTTTATTAAACGAATTCTGATCCCTGATTTACACTTGCTGAATAATACCTCCGTACCTCGAAATGTTGTCACAATGATTCCGCATAGTCGCCGTTTATAATCATGCAATTCTGCGTATTGCAGATTAAATACACATATTCAACTCTGCGCGAATGCACATTTGCTGATCTTGAATTTTTATTCTTCGATAGAGCGAACTCGTTTGTCCTCTGCTTACACCGATGCATTTTATCAAAAGATTTTAAACAAAATGTGCATTGGCTGCTAAAAATTCTCTGTTGCATTTCATACTTTTTGTTTCGAATAATAGATCGAATGAATAAAACAGTGATGCAAATTTATTCATGATGCAAATTAAATGAACCTTCCATGTGAACTCTCTCTCTCTTATATTTCTTAATATAATTTCCTTACAATTTAATGAGTCATACGATCTCCCACTTGAAAAAATGTCTATTATTTATTATTTATTTATTTATATTTATTATTATTTATTTATTTTTTATTATTTTTTATTTTTTATGTCTGCTGTAATTGTTCAGAAAAATTATATGTAAAAAGTTAGCACCTTTGTGAAAGTGTCGTAGACTTGGCGACAAAGTCGTGCGATAATGATAGTACATGAATATCGAAAAAATTAAAATAAACGCTCTCCGCCGCTATCAACGCATTCATGCGTGCGTTGCGTCGATGGGCCGTCTCCATCGATTCTCCATCGTATGTCTTCGTGCATATAAAGGGTCGAATAAAATTGCTTGTTCTATCATCCACGTAGTGGATAGTCTTCGACTTATGGACTCGATCTTTCCTATATATTTCCGATATTTTCATAATCGTTTTTTAACGACCACTCTATGATTAATATTGTAGAAAATTTTTTTATTAATTAATTGCATTAATTAATATTATATACTTTTTATTTTTGCATTTGACTCGCCCAAAAGTGTCTTGGAGATATAAAAATCGCAAACAGGACGGATTTCGAGTGGCTCTCTCATTTTGATGATTTTATTGAATCTTAATCAAATAATCAACGGTCATTTATGTGCAAATCTTTAAATCTTGGCACACCCTGTACATGTCCTGTCTACCTGCAGGAAAGAAAAAGATAGAAAGGCCGAGAGAGAAAGCAAGAAGGGAATCGAGTTGGTTTCGCGCGCTCGTTTGTAGTATCCACCTTACAAACACACGCTTAAATTCGCGATGTATCCGTGCAAGATGCCCTCCCCGTACATTCGTGTACGTGTCAGCGTGTTTGTGTGTGTAAAAAGCAGCCTCCTTCGGTTCCACGTGGATGGCGAGGGGGGAAGAAGGCGAGGTGGACGACGAACCGAGGAGGCGGTGGTGGATGAATGAATGAATCTTAAGACAGTCGTGAGAGAAGCGCATCCACGAAACCGCGAGCTCGCCTTCGGAGGGACGCGCGTTTCAAAGGACTCATCATCGTCCTGGACATTGTGCGCATTTCGCGATTGTGAGCTTCTTTCCCGCAAACGCGTCTCTCACTCTCTCGCATCTCCTGCGTTTTGTGGTTTTTCGCATTTTATCTCGTACTCTCGATATATAAATATTTCGTCGAATTCGCCTTTTTCTTCGATTTCGCCTGTCGCTTTCCGTCCAATCATTCTCAATTCTTCACCGATCTTTTTCCCCAATATTTCGATCCCTTCGACCGTTTTGTGATCGTGATTGGGTATTTTTAAAAGCAAAGTGATAATTTGTGTTTGTAGAAATTTTAGAAGAAAAAGAAGAAGAGATTAGTGCGCAGAATAAATTTACTCGAGAATGACATTTTTAGAACCGTGCGCAGATTTTTCCTCATCCCGGATAAAAGTGGCAAAGTGCTTCGAAAAATACGTCGAGCGATATGTCCTCTAAAAAGTTTTAATGCAAAAGTTACTTTTTTTGCTACACACTTTTGTATGTACTCAAATTAAGTGAAAATTACTCAAACTGTTGTAACTTCACCGAGTTTGAAGAGTAACGAGAAGTTGTTTCGAGGGAGCGTTTTTTCCGAATAAATAAAAAAAAGCTCGATTTGAGAAAAGGATGCAATAAACTTTCTTAGTGATTCCACTCGTCGGGAGACCAATCACTTTCCATCTCTCGTGACGAAGGACGGTCTCCTTAATTTGACTCGCTTTTGCAATTAATGCTCTCAAGGTAACATGGAGATCCCATCCAAGAGACGGCGTCTTTGGCAACCGTGGCGTAACATCGATAATCTTCGACTGGTTTGCAAATCGGAAGGTATGTTACTCTGTAGAGCGCGACGGAGACTGAGAGAGAACTCGGAGGCGATCTATAAAACGATGCAAGTTAAATGAAATATATTAAAAATAAATAAAAAAAATCCGAGAAAGTCTACGGTTGAATTCAATAATAAATTGAAGCCTTTTTTTCTGGACCGGTTCTCTGCTGAAGATTGCGGCGTTATTTGATAAGAACAAAGTTATTAATGGTATATGCACACATGTGTAGATTCAGAGACGTTGAATGAATGTTGAAGTATCTTATCTCTTATGTAAATTTTTGAGGAGTTTTGATAATCTCGATCCATTCTGGACAGGGCTAGCTGTATACTCTACAATGTGTCGATAAGGAACAAGAGTCATATGTTGGTTTGTTAATTATCAGCAGGCCTTATCGAGAAGTCAAGCGACTCGCAGACGGAAGACCCTCCCGCCCCGCTCACTTCTTCGGTCCATTCATCTTTTCCCTACGCCTCTAAACCAGTTTCACCATCTTCCTGACGATCCTCTCACGACTATTAGGCACTTCCTGCCCGTCCTGGGAACCGGACTCGTTTTTATCATCCTGCCCCTTCGTCCTTCTTCCCTTCCTGCTCCTCCTCTACCGATAGCAGCGAAGGAAGGGTTGTCGTTAGATCGGTTTTCCAATTCTAGATATCTCGTCGCGAGGAAATGGGCGACCCTCGACGATTTTATTTCGACCCATAATGAGAAAGATCCAAGGACACGCGTAGAATTTCGTACTTCGTTCTTCTTATGACGTCAACAAATTAAATCCCATGTAATAAAAAGTAAAAAATAAGGAGAGAAGGACAAAAATAAGAAGAGAAGAATTTTTCTTTTCATCGAAAAGAAAAATTCAATATTATACTTGTAGGTATTAAAGAAAAAATTTATACAGATATCGAAAGAAAAAAAGATTTATGAAGGTTCGTGAAACTTTCATTTTTTTCTAATCCGATTTGAATTTTCAATTAAGTTTCTATGATATTTTCGCATAATAGCAACGTAACATATACATACAGGTATAATATTTTATTACGAAAAAATATACTTTTTAAAATAACCACTTTATTTTACTTATTTCAGATTATTTTTTAAAGACATATCATGCCTATCATTCGACATATCAAATGTATTGAATATTGACATCGTTACCAATGATATGTGATGCACCAATCACAAGTTCGCAGATTTTTTTCTATTTATATATAGATTCTTTTTTACTTCCAAATATGCAACCATTGTTTTTTATAGCTCTGTTATCCCTGCTTTCACCCTGAATTTGTAGTAATGCGACCCATGCGTAACATTCCTTCGTTTCATTGTACGACGGGACGTCGAAAGAAAAAATAAGTTAGTATTTTTCCTCGAAGGTTTAGCGCATACCTTCGCTTCAAAGTTGAACGACACACACGTACCATCTCATACTTCTTTCGACTACGAACTATCTCGTATTGGAGTAAAATAATTCAAGGAATATAAGAGGAATTCGATTCAGAGCAGTGAATATATCAGTGGCACGATAATTATATAATAGATCGAGTGTAAAATCGATATAAAAAAGAGACACAAGATTTGAAAAATCAATCTTGATCATCTCTTCGCTGGTACAATCATCGATTCGCTAATCTATCATTTTCACTGATGTGACCGGCATTTACAGTAGCATCTTCGCTGCTTTGTATGTTGCAGAGGAGAGACCGAAATCGACGAATTTGCATCGGAAGCCGAGCAGCGCGTGGCGCAAGGAGCGTAGGAGAGATCCGATTCAGAGCGAAGCGTTGGATATGTCGGCGGCCCGGCAGCATCATCATCATAGCAGACCGAGTGTGATTGTTCCCACCATGCCACAAGCCGGTAAGCATTATTTTTCTTAGCTAAAAAAGAAAAAAGAGATTTTATTAAAAGATTAATTACGCCAGAAAAATGTTTCGCGTTGGAATGTAAAATTCTTCGAAGGACAAGAATACTATTTTTTTTAATTCAATCAATGAGAAGATGATGTTTCGGTATTTCAGCTCAGTATTAAAGAATTTTGACGTTGAGATAAAAAAATACAAAAATTTGATATCACGTTAGAAAATTTTCAGTGACGAAATATAGAGGTTCCAGTTTGAATTCGAGTTGTAAAATCTTGATATTGAAAAAAAAGTTTATTTTCATGATAGATTCACAAGTTCTGTTTATATTCTGTTGTAATTCCTTAAGAAGAATGAGATAAAACATTGAAATTGATCTAATTACAGCAATTAAACACTCGATAATTACAGACAAAAATTAAATTAATTATTGTGAGGGAATAAATCATTAATAATAAAATTTCTTATTTAATTACAAATTAAAAATTAATGTAACGTTAACGTTAATGTTTACGTTAATGAAATTACTAAAGTGGAATATTAAAATATATAAAAACTCATTAATTGTAAAAAGAGATGATTTTCATTTCTCTTTCATTGATATTCAAGATATGAAGAAATCATTTTAGAAAATGATAAAGATTAATCTATCGTTAGAGTACAGCTTGTATAAACAATAAATTTATTGCCATGCTTTGTGCTGTCCGGTATTTTTACCGGATTGCTTCCGACTAACAACGGATATTCTGACGATGTCGTTAAGCATTTCGCGTTTCCGGGACCCTATTGTTGTCAGAGGGATGCCTACGTTCCATGACAATGCAACGCCCGTTGCACCGAAATATCGTGCAGATGTGAAGTCACTTTCAATGGGGCTATATGGTTAATCCCGGCAGCATTCTTTGGTGTTTGCAGGCTTTCCTGAAACATTAATCCTTGTATTAGTCATGGATGAAATTAACACGATGACGAATAATTCGAACTACATCATATGACACTAAATAGATCTATTAGTCTCATAGATGTTGATTTGAATATTAAGATATTTCAGAAATATCTATATATATTGTTAGAAATTATAATAAATGTCATTTAAATATTTAAAAACATAACTAATATATAAAATTTATATACTAAACATATGAAACATAAACACGATTAATATGATTAATATATCTCTCCGAATTTATGTTTCAATAATTCTAGAAATGATAGATTTTTTACACATTTTAAAAAAGATGCTGCAATTTAAAAATTTCTATATTAAAAATTATCGAATTATTTATATAATTTTGCGAGGCTGTTATTCCTTATTCTAAATCTTTTATGAATTTATTTGTAATAATTAATTATATATAAATTCATAAAAGATTTAGAATAAAGAATAACAGCCTCGCAAAATTATATAAGTAATTCGATAATTTTTAATATAGAAATTTTTAAATTGCAGCATCTTTTTTAAAATGTGTAAAAAATCTATCATTTCTAGAATTATTGACACATATATTCGGAGAGATATATTAACCATAATAATTATACATATAATAACATATTATTAAATAATTATATATAAATAGTATGAAATTTTACAAGTAATGTCAATATAATATAAATTTTACTTATCACTATCAAAAACGCTATTTATTTGGAATTAATTACGATTAATTACTATTTATTTGGAATTAATAACGAAAGGGAATTGCATATTTTTCTTCAGGCACCACGATCGAAGACTCAGCGGAGACGCCGACAGCGATGCCTACCACGGCGGGTGGACAAAGGACCGGCATCAGGACAGCTGGTGGCGTCAGCGATCCCGCGATCGATGAACACTTCAAGCGATCATTGGGCCCAAAAAAATACGCGGCCGTCTTTAATGCCACTAATACTGACAAGGAAACCGGCCTGAGTGGTAAGTATATATTAAAAATTTTTCCACGTGTGAAAAAGGGGTAGAAAAGTAGATACAATATGAATCCACCTTGAGTCAACTGTGAATGATGGTATTTTTAATGGTCCAGGTTAGACTCGATCTGGATTCGATTTATCGGCTCGTTATTTATGAAGTGTGATTTTTATCAACTCTCTCTACTGGTAAATGATTTAAAAAAATATATAACATACATACATATATATATAATAAAATAATTTTTTATGATCTTTGTCTTACAATTAGATCAAGAAGGTATTTTTATAATTTCGATTAAATAGATGGGAAATTAATTATTCTAAAACATTCGTTTTGTAAGAATATTTTTCATAAAGAAGTCAAAGTTTTGGAACATGTGATATACAAGTAGATCAAGTGGAATTATTTAAACTCAACTGTATCGATTTAGTTTCCTTGGTGGTCTAGGCTGGACCAATCTGTCTTATGCATTCTTTGCGCAGTTGATGATCACTTTGCGAAAGCGCTCGGCGAGACTTGGACAAGGCTTAAGGCGAACAATCGAAGCAAGGAATCCACCTAACCATTGGAGAAATTCGTCAGGATTCTTAACGTCGTTCTCGTTGTCGTCCTCGTTGTCGCTTGACGACTATCGTAACCCATTTGGGTGAAATCGTTCCAATCTCGCTCGTTAATTATGCACTAGTGATAAGTTATTATTACCAATAAGAGTTAATTGCATTCGCGTCTGTATTCGAAGAGTCCGTACATTGAAGTAAAGCTGAAATTAAGAGTTTTTAAATAAACGTTGAGCTGAATTGTCAGGCGGTACGACCTTGTTACAGTGCACTTTCTTCGACTTGGATTTCTATATCGATACTCGACATTTAAAAGGATATTTAAAAAATGACAGATGTTTCAAAAATGAAACATGATAGATTAAAATCGAAAATATTTAGACTATATAAACATTAAATATTTTTATAGATTTAAAATCAATACACATTTATTCTTTTTCTTTGATTAACTGGCAAAATAATATGATTTATATTCTTTTATTCTTTCTCCACATCCGGGCTTTTTGGTAAAAATTAATTTGTATTAAAATATTTTGTTTTAATTGGTACGTACCGCGTCGTATAAGGAGGGTATCAAGTGTCCTTGATCTTCTCGCTTTTCAACTGGATGCTCGTTGTCGTTGTTTTTCCGTCAGACACGCGAAATAAGAAGACATCGGGAAGGTTGGTCCGCTACGCGCTACATTTTGTACGGTGAGCGTATTGCGTGAACGAATTTGATATTGTTGTATATAAGCACGTACTCCCTTACTACGCCATCGTCACAGTCATTACCGTATAGTTCCAAATTATGTATGAATATAAAATTATTTATTATAATGTTTCATATACTCCTCGCAAAATACTAAGTTTACATATATATATATATATATATATATATATATATATATATATATGTACACACACATATACAACACGTAGAACACATATATGTATGTATATATACAGGATGTATTAAATAAATAGGGTATAAACTGATATTTCTTGTGAAAAGATAACTTTTTGCCTTTTTTTTTGTCATGAAATAAAGAAAAAATCATACCATAATTTAAGATAAATATATTTTCGATATCTCTCAATTGCGAACACATCTGCTAACCGTTAAAAAAACATTGGAATTTTCTGGTTTTATCGTACATATTTTCAAATAAACTTTCTTCAAATTTTTATTTAAAAAAAATAAAAATATTAAATTTAATTACAACAGAACTAATAATTCTACACGAAGAATCAAGAAACAAAAATGCATTGACATATTAAAAGATTGAGATATCTGAAAAACACTACATTTTCTAAAGTTTTTTCAAAGGAAAAGAATAATGATATCGGTTTATCTGTTTCTATCCTCATAAGCATCTTGCATGTATATGTCTGTGTGTATATATGTGTGTATAATAATATTTATATAAGCATGTGCGACTACAATATACACTAAACAGCAATGATGTTCCCTCCTAGTATCAATAAAGCTAACGATATTTTGGAACTCGATCATTACGATTCACTGGACGAGTGCCTGAAATTCAATTTTGTCGCCAGATCTTTTATGTAATTAAACATTTATAAAATTGATTCAATAAATTTAAAATTTTCGCGCAATTAATAATTGGAATATTTTACAAAATACTTTTCGTGATATTCTTTACATAGTTAATTATAATTACACTAAACATTTAGTTTAATTACTGTAAACATATATCTAACAGGCAGAAATAATGTAGACAACTCTGCCATTTAATTCGCCCCAACTAGGGGGATAGAATCATTGTCTTAGGTGTATTGTAATAACGATCCTTATACTGGAGGAATGAAACGCACGCACAAGAGGGTTGGTGAAAAGAACTGTAATTTAGAATAATAAGACAGAATATATCGCACAAACAACGTATAAATATTACGTATCGGCCGTAAATGCCGTACTAATGGCTGTAAAGATAAAAAAAGAATATGTATAGTTATGGAAATGATAATGATAATGTATGAAAAAGATTTAAAAAAATAAGAAAGCGTTTAATTATTCTCACAGAATTGCATTAGTCTCCGCCAAGATTCTCTCCCGAAGATTTTCCTCATGCGAGTTTTTCATCGCGCGCACTCGTAAAAAACGAACCCACCTCGCCCCATCTAATTCTGCCGAATGCTAAGAAGAGTAGTACTGATTTCTAATGGTGCTAGGAAGTCCAGCTCGTACCCCAGCACGCACAGAAGTCAGTACCTCTACTTTCTTATATGCGCAAAATTTTTTCACTTTCTATCGACGTAAAATGTGCACACGAGGAGCTTTCAGATAGGATTATCGCGAAGCCTTATGAGATGACGTTATCTCAGAGAAAGGTCAAGAATCCGCGAAACTAGGACAAACGTCATCGAATATTCCGGGATCAATTTCCAACTTCAAGACTGGATATCTTGATCAAAATATAAATGTCATGTCGTATCTCGATAACCCATATATTCCTTCATCGAGCGATAATTACATACCTCTTTTGCCTCCGAAAATTATGAAATTTTTCGGTGAAAGAAAGTGAAGCGGTCATTCTTCGGGGTGAATAACACAGAAAAAAGGAGTATTCCTGGACGATTAAGGATAGAATTCCGAACGTAGTCTGGTCCAGAAGCTACACTTTTCCTCCTTCAAAGGAGAGCCCGTCGATGCAAGTGGAAATAAGCGGGATTTTTCTTGAATGAACGTTGTTATTCGTAGGTGGGCCGTCCGGATGGACTGTCTCAGGAGCGCTCAGATGGCTTCCTATATGCAGGCTGCTTGTTCACTTGCCGTAAAGCAAAGTGGTAACTTAATATTAAAGCTGAATATATAAGTACGGTAATTCCATACCGTAGAATCTAAAGTAAGTCTACACCTTATACTGCCGCTCACCCTCCCACACCCCGCTACCGTACTCTCAGTCATCTCCGGACCCCGTTTCCCTCTTACTCCGGGGTACTTCGAGCGTGATAACGTGGCAGGATACTAAATATCGGTTGTTCTTTCTGTTCTAGGTGCAAATTGCCGTCCTCTGTCTGCTACATAGTCTTCTGTTCTCGTTCCACTCGTGATCTCCTTTCATACTTTTTTGTGTCCCTCCTTTTCAGTTCCTCCCCTGCACGCGCACAATGGCGGCTTTTTCCTTACTCGTCTTTCGACACCCGATTTTCTCGAAATATAATTTGGTACGAATATACAATACACCGATAATTATGCAATATAAATTATAATAGTATAAATAAAGAAATATACATGTCGCTGTAGAATTTTCAAACAAGTTTTACTTAAGCTGCAATTGTCTTCGAAAAATATTAGGAATAAAATTTTCCTCTAATAGAGACTCAATTTTATTTAATAATATATTTAATAATAGATTATGATATATTGAATATTTTTTCAAACTAACATAATTGAACTTCTATCGATTTTGATTAATTAAAACATGCGTCTCGATGCAGAATTGAAAGTTTTTAAGATGCACGGTTATATTGATGATAAATTATATAATTATGTTACAAGAGATTTCTGCTTTTTTATTTAGAAAAACGAATGCGACGACAAAGCGAGATTTTACCGTTTTATCCTTTCATTGTCTTGAAGCGATTTTTAACGAAATGAAAGACAGGTGTTTGCAAAGTGCGGCAGCCTTGAGACTAAGGTCGGTTACATTATCATCTTTTTATACGCATCTTTTTATACATCTCTTTTACGCATTGTTCATAACACAGACGTTTTGAATGTTTTCGAACAATTTAACGTGCATTTTAATTACGTTAAGTGTGTGTGTACTTGATATGTATTATTAATTAAATTTAATTTTTTATATCTATTTCGTTATTGATTTGCAATTCATATATATAAATTCACGAAATTATTTTTTAAAATATATTTTTCTATTTTTGTATCATAGATTATTGATATGTAGGAGAAATCGTTAAAGATATTGATAGAAATTAAATAAAATGATATCAAAGTATTCGAAAAAACATTCATTTTTTAGAATTTTCAAAAGTAATTTTTGTCAAGTAAAGATTTTCGTCAAGTCACGTCCGACTTGTTGGTGTACATTTGAGAGTTCTACTCCGTATTTTCCGCTCATAGCGTGACTCGCAATATACCCAGGGGTAGATAAAAGGGGTAAGCTTTCGGAACGCGTCATCCTGGATAATTTATAATTAATTGGGGAGAGTGCGCGCGTGCCTCTTTTGCTTCCGGGATATGCAGCTGGAAATGGGCCAGTAGATCGCGTTTTGAGGCAGATGCTCGTGTAAACGCACATTTTTCAACATATGCAGGTGTCGTCTGGAAAGGCATATTGACCGAATCCGATTTCCGTGCATTCTAATACTGTGTTTTTTGTATGTTAAAATGAATGCGATAGAAATTCGAAATTATGTGTGATTGAACTTTTATAGAAAAAAATAAGTTTATGTGTTATAATGCAGATAGTACACAAAATGAAGTATAAAACTTTAATAAAAGGTCGTGAAATTATCTGGTCCAAAAACTTCTGTGTCTGAAACACGACTCTGAAATATTATCGTGCTCAGTTTCCGAAGCGTAATAATTTGAAAAATTGTTTATAATTTTCAGAATATTTTCTTATGTGAGAAATATGCGAAATAAAGTAATGAAAATATCAAAATATTAATAATTTTTATTAATTATATAAGCGTTATTTATCGGCGTTATAAATAAATTCATTACCGAAAAGATTGTTAAATTTTTTTCTATAATTTTCTTAAATTTCCTTGCAATTATCTTATCTTCTCTTTCTTTTTCTCTACAAATCTAAACATATGTTTCTTTTATTCCGAATGTAGAAAATTCAGTTGAAGAGAATAAATCTGTGCTTCATTTTTCCGACATTATTCAAATTGTTTGTCAAGAAATCAACAAATTTTTAACAATTCGTACAAATAACTTGTTTGATAATTCAATAAAGATAAATTTAAAAAATCATGTTTATATGTTCAAAGGACATTAAAGATTCAACGAAAGTTTGTCTTGAGAATGCTTTGTAAAATCGACTAGCATAAAATGAAACTTTTTACTTACATGTTAATTGGGAATGATCAATAGGTATCGGACGTCAATCGTGTACTAGTCTGTCTATCGTCTGGC